GGAAGGTTTACATGTTAACGAATGTTTCAAATGACTTTAAAAAGGAATGGCTTTTCAAGGCTCAAATTACCTTCCGGTTCATTGCATTGATCTTAAAGTGATATGAATCTTTATGACTTTTTTGCTCAAATTATAAAGATTTTATTTACAAGAGATATCGCGTCCTCTTGACTTGCCGACAAACGATACCGCTTTGGTTAAGCTACGTTGACTTTACATTCACCATCAGGCACCAAGGCGAAATTGACGCATTCCCCCACCACCTCAACGAAGAAAACGCTGATAAGAATTTATCAGAGAAGCCGAAGAGGACTGTAGACTTTTTAAACAAAAATTTCCTAACAAGTCGTGACGAGAACACACAACGATCAGTTTTCAGGTCAGCGACAAATACAGACAGATTACTGGACGAGTCTTCCTACAACCCAACACCATACAAAGCCAGACTATAAGAAGTCTAGCGAGAGGCATGCAGCTAGTTTGCATCTCGCGAGACAGCTCATTCGACAAAAACAAATGCCTTAACCACGTATTTTCTATGAACAACTACAACGACGACTTCATTAAACGAAAGAAGTATATGAAGGTTTCGCCCAACTGCACCTTCGACCCCTACCAGTTCGCCCCACCTCAACGAATGCAGCTCATCAAAAGAAACGATTTCGCTCCCACCGACTCGCCCACAAAATCTCCCAATTTTTTTCGTTACGACAGAACTTGTTTTCATTTTCGGAAAAAATTAAAAGTTTATTTTTATCAATATGCAAATAAGTTGACCGCGAATCCATAGTTAAAGGTTATCAAGTGCAAAATTCCCAGCTGTGTTTATTCAGATACGACCACACGACTTATTCAAAGCTCCTACTTTATACTGGTCTTCACGGCAGTGGCTTGACAATATTTTATGCTTATGTTCTCTTTCACTCTTACGTTAACGGCAAATTTAGAGATTTTTTTACCTCGCCTTAGCCTGGAACTTTGCGCTGAACTAAAAACTTTAACATCCTCCTAAAATAATACTACTGGTAACACCTCTCGAACAACTTAGACGCTCACGAGCTACGCCACTTGATTGGAAAGAGTTACAAGCGTCATAATTATTTTAATTATATTACTCATATCCATTAGTATGAAAACGTGTTTTGGTTACACCACCAGAGCCTTCACAGAAAATAATATCAAAAACAATCTACTGACAACAACTCTTTTATCGACTCTGCGGACCTCCGCTGAGGTTGTCGAAATGTCAGCCTCTGCCACCGTCAATAGTCTAACTCAGGACTTCTCTCAACTGAAACATCAACGGATTAACGACCTCACGTTACTCTTGGGCTCAGTTTATTCAATGAACCGAATTCAAATACATCGTCCTTCGCTCAACTCTTTCACCGATGACAGTGTTTGTCATTTATAGATAAAAATAACTTATCTTTCACATTCGTTTTTTATTGAACCTCAATCCATAACTGATTAAATTGATACACCCTCCCTAAGACCACCCATGCGATTCAACACAATACCGAACTCTGAACACACAAGAGTCTGGAAATAGGGTCAAAATGTTTATCCATTCGTGATCTTTGGTTATTTAAAAATCAGAGAAAAGACAAAAAACTGTAATGTGTTAGTTTTTTTTTTTTGGCCAAAACTCTACATCCACCGATAAAATGCAATTTAAGCTGAATTATTATCACTTTGTAGGGAAAGACGAATGTAAATTAGACTTAAATAATAATTATGGCTTATCAGAGCATTTTTCAAATTAAATTCGTTACTCTTGGAAACATATTACTTGAAAGAAAAAATAACTGTTTGATCTTGTTATCCAATGATGATAAATTTGCAACCCCTCCATGATCTGATGATTAAAATGTAAAATGATGTAGAGGCATCAGAAGTATACTCGAGCGTTAGTTTAAAGCTATTGTCCTCTCGAAACTTGCTGAGAGTGTTTTTTTTTTCTGAAATGTAAACAGCTGTAAAGCTGAGCATAAATTTCTTTTCACAAACAAAAAGATAGTAATGTAGTAAAAAGACTTGAAAATAAGCAAAAGAGTCTAAAGGTAAGAGGGGTTTGAAAATAGCCGAAGCCACAGTTAAACACTTTATGAATATCATTTTGTCAACCTGCCTCGCTGCAACTGTCGAAATTGACGGCTGAAACGTCAATTTTACGAGCAAATTAAAAATGAGGAAAGAACTCTGTTTGTTAACGTTAGTGATGAAACAAATAAGTAAGCGAGAAATTTAATCAAAATGGCTGAGTTTCCAATCAACTGCGTTTATCTGTTTGTTTTGATAAAGAGTTACCTGTCTTTGAAACAAATAAGAAGGATATAAATAACTAGGATAGTATAGATTGAGAGTAATATGTCAACTGAAATCTCAGGCACGTAGTAGAGGAAAATTTTCAGAATCATTTCCAAGGTTTCAATATGATATTCCTCTCTACAGATATCATCTTTAAATTAGCTCTAAACTTTGAAGCGAAAAAAGAAAAGGAAAGAATAAAGAGCTTTATCTGCTATAATTTGTGCCTAATGACTAACACATAGAAAAGCAATCAAATGAATTTAAGCAAGATTGAAAGCATCATTTCAAACGAAAGCAAGAAACTGTCAGCTGCCGCAATTCCGATTGGCCACTCTTCATGGTACATAAACAAACACTTCTGTCCCTTTTATCCAACATAAATCCAATTCCATTGTTCTTTCAACAAGAATATGAAATTCAATGCACTATTCGCACTTAACACCTAAAGAGATAACTATTCGAACAGTTGCAATCGGCACCAGCTTTTATAATCCTACCAAAACGAACGTAAACGAGGAATATGGATGACCAAAACATTTTGAAGAAATCGTTCATTGTTGGTCTTTGCAATTTAATTCTGGTTAGTGTCTCTTTACACTAATCACGGTGCTATGTTTTTTTCGAATTTCCCATAAAAATGGATGAACCATACATCTTCCTAAGTATTTTTTCACATGATATTCTTCTTCCTGTATGTATAGACTACCATAGATGTCAGAGGATTAGGGTCTTATTCAGGTAAGTCTCTTTAAAGTTAAGCCTCACTTGCGATTATTAATATCGACTTTTCAGATATCATCCCCAAAACTAACATCGCTTCTTATTGATTTCATTGTCTCAAGGCATTGAAAATAATTTTAGGACGAACCTAAGTTGGTCTAAATTAAATATTTTCTCCAAAATAAACTTTAATTGACATAATTACCAATTCCCTAAATTCTGTAGTCTTCTTTCAAAGAGCGATACAAAACAGTTTGTGTTCAACTTCTAGAACTATATTTGCTCGAATTTTTTGCCGAATGGCAAGTGCAAAAATAAAGCAGGTGAACAGGTGTTGGGGTTTATTTCTCATCAAAACTGTATTTAAAATTCCACTTGTTTATCTATTCCGTTTTCGGCACAAGTCACACAAAGTACGTCCAAAGAGGTACTCTAGGGAACTTACAAATACATCCGAGAGGAAATTGGTAACGTTAAAAGCAGCTAGACCAAAACAGGACACTAACAGGAATGAGAACATTTCTCAAATTGAAATATTTTGTTTCAACTAGAGTTGTTCCCAGTCTTATGTTCAAGTAAATATCAAGGTGTAAACTTCTAAAAATGCCGCAAGGTCTTCAAAATTTTTAAGGAAAGGGGATGTGAAAAGACTTAAAGGAGGATAAACCATAAAAACTGAAAAAAAATAATTCCTCAAGAAAGTGCTACGGTTTCTTACTTCCTGGGTTTCCTTACTTCCTTAACTGCTTCTGAGAAGTGTCAGACTACAGTGCTGACAAGTTTCGCGCGCGATGGACAAACATGTCGAATTTACACGCTATTACTGGGATAAGAATCGGTTCAGATTAATTATATTTCCGATATGTTCAAACGCCCGGCGTCAGGTATTGTCACGTATCCTCTCGCGCTCTTACAGAATAGAATGGCGCGAGATGTTACTTACAAAATGTTACGTATCGTAAGTCGTTTGGCTTTAGTTCCACTTTTTCTTCAAGCTAAGGCTTGTTCAGCAATTGTATGTTTACCAAAAAAAACAATTCCAATTTTGTTATTTTTACTGATAATTCTTCATAAAAAATTCGTCGTACGTAAGTTCATCATTCTTATTCCACTCAGTTCTACCTCTTCGCATCCCTTCACGTTGACTCTGTTTCGATATAAGTGTCTTCACCCTGATTTCACAGTGCACATAGAACTGAGATAACAGAGCGAGAAAAAGTTCTGTATAAAAGATTAATTTGGCCGTCGAGTCTCGTTTTTCTCACGTGCATATAATCGCCATAATATTTTGTACTGAAAAACATGCCATTGTTTGTCGATTATATTTTGCCTTGATGTTACAAGTTGCGTTATAAAATTTAGCGATGTTGAGATCAGAGTAATATATAGATTTAGCCAAGCCTAAAAGCGGAGCTCGCATTTTTTTTCCCGCACGTCTCAAGGGCACAACGCCTTGCCCCGGCCAGGACTAGAACCTGCATGGGTCGTCCGACTTGGAGCCCAGTGCACTACTGGACAAAGCCGTGGCGTTGGCGGGCCCGCGGTACAGTTGACCACGCATGTTAAAAGTAGCACCTTGTACGGTCGTACGGTCGTACATCCAAATTTTTTCGGCTTGATGGGTTACTACTATTTTGTATAATTATGGGGCTACGCTCTGCGAGCTCCGCCATGAAGAATCTTGGTATGGTAAACCTGCGTGTAAGTATTTAGTGTGTGTTTTCCTCTGTTTAATAGCTATTCACGACAACGTCGAGTTCATCTTCTACAACAATGATACTGCCAATTGGGCCGATGGTCAGGAAAGATGCAGTCAAGATGGAGGGCATCTTGTTACCTTGGAGACCATTAGAAAGTGGGAGTTCATTTCCCAAGAAATTCAAAATCTTTCTAATCCAAGAGATAACGAGTGGTATATTGGCTTACATTTTAATAATAAAACTTGGACATGGATTAATGGTAAGCCAATGAACAAATCAACTTTGCTCTGGCAGCCGAACGAGCCATCAGGTGATGGAACGTGTGTGGTCATTGCAAAGGAGTATCCATCACAAACGTACGGGAAGTATAATGACTTGAGCTGCGAAACGATCAAAGGATTCATTTGCGAAGTGAGGTTTCCCACAGGTAAAAAAAAAATTATACAGTTGATCTAAGAACTAACTGAATTGTTGAGATGTTATTAAATTCTTCCAGTGGGGGGGCCTGAAGGGTCTGGACACCCCTTCCCCTCTGAGTTGTTTTTTTCGTTTTTTTCACAACTTTTCTGGTACCAAAATTTTTGCAATGACAGGAGCGAACACTACTAATCCATCGACTGATTTCATTTTCTCTCTCTCCATCTCGCTTACGCGTTGGTGCTAAATTCTAGGTGTCTTTTGAGAAAGGGGGAGGGGTTACTCTCTATCGTGCAATCTTTTTACCAGGGGCAAGAAATGGATGTTCCAATCCTTTACGAGTGGGAGTCAAGGGCCTAAATGCATAGTGATGTACACGCCGATATACACTCTATAATGCTGCGTACAAGTAGCGGACAGTTTACGTATCCAATATCAATAATTTTTCGATAGTTATGATTTCGTTTTCTCTCATTTCATTTTCAAAAGAGAGGGATGTAAATGGACAACACTTCAGGTTTAAGTATAATTTTGAATATTGGAGTATCCATAGCAACTTGCGATCGTCTTTTCAACATTTTTAAATTGTCATACGAGGCATACAACAGCGAAGGGATTCCAAGTAGATTATAAGCAGGGTAAACTATACCCTGTATATACTTGGCATCTTCCTTTAATCTTTACTTTACCACGTTAAATTTCGCTCCCTCGCAAAATAAACACAATTGATATTAGAGAGATTGCAGCTTGCGAAGCGGATTTGCTCATGAATTGAAGGGGTTGTGGAAATTCCTTGCCACACGGATCCTGATTTTTTGTATCTGTCTCGTAAGCCTCGGTCAGTGTAACACATGAGTATTCCAAGGAAGGAAAGAAAAAAAACAAAACAAACTTTGTGTTTGATGATTTGCCGGTATGGAAATTAACTAATTTAGCCACAGCTGACCCAAGCTTTGACGGAAAAGAGCATGTGCGTAAGTAGTACGTGTCACGACTTATATAGATTCGCCCTTGTTTCGCATCAACAACCTGTACATCATTCCAAAAAGCTTTCCAAAAATTTTAAACTCCACGATTCCAGGAAGAGTGTGATCGACTGGATCAAAATTAACGTATTTAGCCACAGGTCTTCAGGCTTGTGGCATATACATCTCCGTCCAAGGTTTACGTTACGCAACAATCGATATTCTTCTCTTGCTTTGCCTTAGTTAGGATTATCATTCAAGTTGTTTATTTATGTTAAAAGAGCTTCATATCCTCTAAATCGATTTTTGGATTTTTTGGCACTTTCGTGTTTAAAGTCATCAGTTCTCAGCATGAGTGGAAACACGATTGTAAAAGGCTACGTGATGAAAATTTTCCTCCATTGAAAAGGGATTTGAGTCTGATTTATCTCATCGAATATTATACGATCTGTGCTATTATCGTATCACGTAAACGAGCCGTCATTGAAACAATGCAATTAATTTAGATATGAGTATACCAAGCTGACTTACAGACAGTGCATGCAACACTAACGAGAGCCGAAAAAGAGTTTGAATAACCTCATGATAGCTTTGAAAAAAACATTTTGACTTCTTAAATAAGCACATTAATTCAAAATGAGCAAGAAAAGATTGAAAAAAAAAAAAGAACTGGCAGGAATATTTACTTTGCACAATATTTTTGTTGAACCGTCAAACTAGGTGATAAACGGTATCTAAGTGTAATCTATGTCCTTTGTGCTTTGCAATATTCCCATTATAACTTTGCAAGGGATTATCACTCCTCATTGTGTATTATATTTTGAACACGAACGAAAAGTCATGCAAAATACATTCATGGATTAGAAACTCGTTGGAAAAACTTCAAGAACAAGTGATTACACAAAACATTACCACATTTACAGAAAACACACAAAATCAGCAAGATCTTGATACGCTATTGTAATTTCCGAGTTGCACTTTTGAGCTTAAGTTTTGTGTTCCTTTTTATTTATCTCAATTTGCCTGCCTATTGTTATTGTCTCCTCTGTACGTAACTAGCCTTTTCTACGATTCCAACGGCTTTCCATGGCAAGATAAAGGGTCTGAAGAGTCTTTTCTGTAACAATCTGTCATTGTAAGTCAATAGACGCAAGTCAAGCCAGCTTTATTTATTTTTTCTATAGCTTTACTCGTCAATAACCCCTAGGAACAATGTAGGGGATTGTTAGCTTTTCTTCTGCGCCCTGAAAACCATTACCGATCAGAAAAAGTAACCGCGACTCATATTTCAGTTCTTCCATCTAATAGTAGCGGCATTGCTGGTCTCAAAGGTAGAGTAGTTAAGAAAAAAATCAACATGCGACAAGAGAGCCGTAATGGACAGTTCATTAGTATACTAAATAATATTTGCTTCGCTGATGAAAAGCTAACACCTTGTCACATTCGCAGTAATCGGATTGGCTGGTGGGCAGATTGGCGCACGCTTAATACAAATATCTAAAAATTCTGACAGGCAGATGGAAGAACAAGACAACGGGAAGCGAAGCCTTCTTGCTGATGAGAAAATTTGTATCAATGATAAAAGAAGAAACTAGAAATGAAATTTGGAGTTAAAATCCACGTATAAAAAATGAAAAGCCGCGATTTCCTTTTCATTATCTTGGCTCAGGTCAGTAGATAATACTTATGAGAAGTAACAAAATGACCAAAGACTTTACTTCATCCTGCAGAGATCGACTTAACTTTCTTTTGTAATCTCTGATAGATAATTTTACCTTTCTCGTCTTCGACAGAAGGTAAGTGCTTTATTTAAGAACCGCGAATACACATTCTCGCAGGCCACCTTTTTGTACTTTGCCACGGCGGCCATTGTACCTATCCTAAAACTCGTCAAATTATCATTTCCTTCGCACTGTTCGGACGGAATATTGGTGACTTTAAACAGAATTTTATAAGTCTCGTAAATCCACGGTAAAGAGCAGTCAAGAAGAAGAATAACAAGCATAAAATTAGTACAAATCTATCGAAAATTAATCTGTTTTTCACGGTCGCATTTAAAAAAGTAACTGCAACTCCAATTTTGTTCGAGTCAAATTTTCTTAATAAACGTAATTTAACAGATTAAAGACTACGAGATAATGAGCGGGTTTTTTAGTGTAGCTTCTCTTAGCACTAAATTGGATCTTTTCAGAGGACACGAGTCAGGCAACAAAACCAACAAAATTTTATTTTTCTTTGGAAAATTGTCGACATGAATCATCCGTTTTGCTTGCTGACAGTTAGGACTTAAGGAGATTTAATTACTACACTGAAAAACAAAATTAGAATCGGAAGCGAATTACGATAGCAATTTCAATTTATCCTAAATTGGTTTTAGCTTAAAGCTTGTGAACAGATCGCATAACCTACTGAAAATTCTAGCGTCATTTGCGAATTTCGTTTCAACTTTAAGTTTAAACCATGCTTTTCAGTACCATATTTACAGATCTCCTCAAAGGAGATCTGTATATAAAAACAAAAAACAAACAAAAAAAAAACCTTACTAATCTATCTAAAAATGGACGAAACTTTGGTGATGGTTCTTGTAGACTTGAAGTTTGAAACGTCATTAGACCGGAATCTTCCATCATCTCCTGTCGCTCGAATCTAAACATGTCAAGCTAAGCAATGTCTGAGTAATTAAGATTACACTATCAAAAAGTATCTGGTAAATTAAAATTTCGAAAATTACCGTTCGGAGATCACACTATATATTTATCTTGGACACGAAAAAAAAAAGCGAAATGAGGCCATGTCGTGCTTCTTTTATTTACAATCAACAAGCTCTTAATTCCGAATAAATTGTTTTTTATTTCAAATTTTCAGAGGATGGAGGATTAAAATCCGTTGCTCATGGTCGTTTAAATTATGGCGGCCAAGTCTTAATTAATTGAGTTCTTCATTACGTCTTATCTTTTAGTTGAATATTTCCTGATCTTACAATTTGTAAGTCGATTCTAACAAGTTAAATATAAAGATGCCTTTTTATCCTATCACAATCGGCTCGTTTTGTAAATAAAAATGATTTATGCATCACGAAGCTCGAGGGTTGAATAAAACGACGCAGAAATAAAATGACAAAAATAAGCAGAAAATATTCTTCAAGTTATCTAATGGCAAACAACGTACGCACGATAACTAAGTTTTCCATTAATTCTTCTTTTTTTGGAACAAAATGATTGCTTCTAGCTACCAATATTACAGTGGACGTATTGACTTGAGTTAGATTCTCAAGACTGATGTATAATCTTATAATTCTGCTAGTTTGCTTTTTTTCCGCTTTGTTGCGAAAAGCGCGGAAAAATTTTTCGGATTGTAGTTCGTATTGCAGAAAGCTGGACCGGTTCACAAACGCACGATTAGCCAATCACATTCTAGCATTTAGGATTCCGACCCGCTGAGATGTTTCATCCTTATTAATTCTTCCTTAGAATCATTCTTTATATTGACCCCAGGTCCTGACCTAGTTTTGGACGAAAAATGGCTGAACATTAGTGGCGACGAGATCAAGGAACTGACTTCTGATCCTCGCTACCCTGACAACGCCACAGAAAGTGGATATCTTCCTCTCTTCAAGGATTATAATCCGAACGAAGTTTACCGCAACCATGGAGCACGATACCGTTCATATTTTCAAGCACAGGAGACTGGAAACTACACCTTTTATACGTTTTGTGACGACAGCTGCCGCCTGTATCTGAGTAGCGACGTCAATCCCAAACATAAAAAAACGATTATTAATCAAACCCAACATGTAGACCACGTAAACGAGAGCAACTGTTGCAGGTATAACTACCTTTGTCTTTTTATTAAATCTACGGCTGGAGAACTAGGGCTAGAGAACTAGCCCTAGAATTATAACCAGCTTATAACCTTTTTTCTGAATACATATACTAAAAGTGAAACACGACATGAAAGATAAACAACGACCTCGAAGTGATTCCCAAATGAATGTACCTTATTTTTTGTGTACTCACATCTGCTTTAGCTATCGAAAGCTTGTAATGAATGCTGATAGGAGATGTAAACAAAAACAAAACAAGAAAAACAATTAACTTTTCAAGAATTAATTTAATGTTCTCTCGCATAATCTTAACATCAGTTTCATTTTGTTTCATTCGAAGTCAAGTAACTTGAAAGAATTAGTTTGATTACATTCGTTGTTTCTCAATTCGTTTCATACAAAGTCAAGTGAATTTAATGAATTAGTTTCACGGCATTCGGTGTAAATTTAAAATCATTTGTACTGAGCTTCGTTTTCTTACACGACTTTTGCAGCGATTTAGATGATATGCAAATATCTCCTCCTCAATATCTAGAGGAGTCAAGACTCCACTACATAGAACTTTTGTTTAAGCAAGGCAAAGGGAATTCGAGGATGTATGTAGCCATGAGAACACCTAGTGGCCAGATGGTATTGCCAATTAATTGCGAACATTTGGTGAAACAGGTACCCCTGTACGGTAAGTACTACTAAATTGAAATGTTTATCTTCCTTTTCATAGGCTTTTATTATAAGGTCGTCAACCCAGAGAAAACAAACATATCATTAAGTTTACTTCCAAATATCCTATTATTTATTATGCTATAATCAGAGTTCAAATGTTTCTCAATTTGAAAGCAATTGGTGAATGTAACACAAAATATCTTGACATTAAGAGCTCTTGAGAAGATAAGGCGCGCCACTTAGACAGGAGAGACATGCCCCTCCCCTCCCCCAAAGAAAAGACTCAAGGATCGGTATGATATTTTAACAATGTACACGCTTACCAATAAGAGGGATCCATGAGAGGACAATATTATTATACAAAAACATTTAAGCTGAGTTTACTTATAATCCAGCCAACTTTCCTAGATATTCCTGGGGATGGTTGTAAGACCGAAGGAGATCCGAGGTATCCCGATTACGTAAATTGCACGGCACTTTCGGATACGCAAAAGGTATGAAGAATCAAAAATTTAACTCAGTGATCCACCTCATAAATATGAACTGAGAACCATCTATTACATCGCAGGTGGACCGTGCCATTTCTTTATTAAGAGATTTGAGGTCTCGTGTGAACGACAGAAGTCCTACTGCTGATTTTTTCCGTTCGGTGATGAAGGTAGGACAGAAAGACATCATAATAGCATTTCAATTGCTCCTCAATTTCTGCTTTTCTCAAGAAGGCCTCATGAGTATATTTACTTGTGTGCTTTAAAGCAGTCCTTATGTCTTCTGTAATAAGTCTTACACTTGACTGTCTATTTTTATTTGCTTGTCAGAAGCCATTATTTGAAAGTGTGAATTTGCAACGTAATCTCGGAGATTTAGGAAAATAGTAATCGTCTTCATGCAGAAAAGTAATTATAGCTGTTTGGGACGAGTTTCCAATTTTTTAAATTTTCTCTCATGTATTTCTTATGCTTCTGCGAAAGTTAATTTACGTGTATTCTTTTCGTTTCTTCACTTATTCATTTATTCGCCATTACTTTCTTCATGTAAATTACGCTTCCCTACATTTTCCACATTTTACGTCCTTATAATTGTTTGTATTTTATTTTTGATTCTGTTTAAACCCCTTCCTATATTTCTCTCAGCACTTGTCGCGTCGTATCTTTGTACATATTCTCCCAGCTAATCTTTTTTAGTATAATTTGGGAGGGTCTTTTTCCTGCCTTCTAGGAATTTACTTCTACTTCACACATTAAAATAAAATGGTTTAAACTCTGTGTGGCGTGGTTTCTTTACTTGTGTGACCTGGCCTCTAGACCTGTGTGACCTGGCTTAGGTTCTTCAACTATTTCAGATTGTAATAAACTTCTAATCATTATAATAAAATCAAACCCACACAGACCGCTGGAAAGAGGACAAGTGATCTGCTAGAAGATCTAGATAACATTCGTGTGAACCAGAACACTTCTGAATCAAACCTTGGTTTTACAATCGCCAGAGAGGTTGAACGTCTCGGAGAAAGCATCGCTTCTCGTGTGAGCAAAGATACACCAGTGATAGCTGTTAATTATTCAAGTTTAGGTACACACTACTACATAGTTTTCTACGTTTTTTTAGACTTGTGTATTAATAGTTTGCTGATAAGGAATAAATATTGCATGGAAATCTGAAGCAAATTATTTAATATCAACAGTAAACTAGCTCTATGAAAGCTATATGATAATTAACTGAGAAAAACATATCTTTTCTTTGATTTCGATAAAATGTGGTGAATTTTGCTGAACCTTAAATACTGACAGTATATCTCTGTGTTTAAGATATGAAAGCGGGTTATGGAAATCTGGACGCTTCCTTCAAAAGCTCTACACCTTCGAGTAATTCTGAAAGCGAAAACAGCATAACCATTTCTCTGGGAAATTCAACACGAGGTAATTCAGTCATTACTGTAATCTTAAGTTTATTGTTCCTGAATGTTTATTGTTATAAAACAATAGCAGGGATTTTATTGTTTTAACAGCTACCACATCTCAAAGATTAAAAGCTATTAAAGGCTATATCGGCGCATTTAGGTTTCCACCAACAAAAGTTAAATTCTCAAAACGCTCATAAACGCTTCTCTTACTACCTCTAAATTACAGTCCAAGTAAATTGTGACGTAACATTTGATGAAGAAATTGCTTTTCCTACTACGTGATCGAGAATTATCGTCTATTATTAAGAACACTTTGCAGTCAAACGACTGAATTACGTGAATATGTACAATACAATAAGACGAATATTAAAAAATATACATAAATATATATATATATATATATAATGTACTGTGGCTAATAACAAAACTGTCTCTAAATCTGTCAGTCTTGCACACGAGTGCGGTAAAGGTGTGACCAGATCTAAAGTTGTACATCTGCAGGGAACGTGTTGTAATTCTCTTATCTAATCATTTTTATAGGACAAGATGGAACGCGATTCTTTGCTGCATTTTACAGATCATTGGAAAAAGTTCTTCAAATGAATATCAGCCACGTATACAGGTGGGGCTTACTGACTCGAAATATTTTTGCATTTAGTGGATCATTTATCGAAAAGCATCAGTTAGTGCCTTTTCTTTCACGGATTTCCGGCATAAAGGTGGGAAACGCCTTCAGAAAGGCTAATTACTTTAAACTTATGATGTAAGAGTTAGTCATCAACCACATGCATAGACAGGTCTCACAGGACAACCCTTACACGGAAAGTAAAACTAACAAACTGTTTCCACTTAATGGAAAGTGCGAGAGGCCCCTTGTGTTTTAAAGTTTTCATATGAATCATACATAAACATAAATGAATTTTTTTCCTTGCGACAGCAATGAATCCAGCCAGCAAGTGCCCCACTTTTTGAACAGCAAAATCATATCAGGATCGATAATCCCTGATTCAAACAAGTCTTTCAATGGCGAAGTTACCATTCGATTGGAGCACACACAGGTTGATATTTCAAGCGTGTTACAAGTATTTTTGACGAACAGTTCTGTCGATACTGTTTAATTCCCATTCCTGATTCTAGTACACGTGAAGCGTAAAAGCTAAGAGCGATAAGCTGCAACTTAAGTGATCTACGTTTTCTGTTAAAAAAAGTAGTACCAATGTAAATATGAGCTTAATATCAAAACAAAGAGACCATTGTAACCGATTCATTCTAACCAAGAAATCAAAATTATAGATATTACAAATTAATCAAAGTTAGAAAGTTATTAATTTATATGGGGTTTTTTTTAGGAAGTGCGTTGGATAATAAGTAGAATGATTGGAAATTAATTTTGGTAAAACTTTACACGAGGGAGAGTTGCCATTCCTAACGCCTAGGAGAGAGACGAGAGTCACTAAATATCCACTACAACTTACTGATTGCTCAAGACTTACCATTTCATTCTCGTTTTTATTATACAAGTTCAAAACCTCGGAGCACATGTCTATGGAGTGTGCTTTTTGGAGATTTCCAAAGGGAAACTCAAGCAACTCATCGGGCTACTGGTCGATTGATGGATGTAACAAAGACGAGGGGCTTTCAAACGCTGAGGCCACAGTGTGTCGTTGTAACCACCTTACTCACTTTGGTATACTTATGAGAGTCTCTGATGATACACAGGTATAATAACTTATTGTACTCCTTTATGCAAGAGCGTATATGTAGGTTGCCATGAAATTTCTCTGAGTGAATCAAAATCCCTATCAGAGTGAATGCTATCTACTATAAATGCTTACTAAGACGACATTTTAGAAATTCTACTTTGACTTCTCAGTTGTCCATTTAGTCGCTCGCTCGCTGTCTCATTCATTCATTTATTCATTCATTCTGTCAGTCAGTCCATTGGTCAGTTAGACTGCCCATTGGTTAATTAGTCTGTCCATTGGTTAGTTAGGCTGTCATTCTGTATGTCTATCTGACTGCCAATCAGCGTCTTTGTGTTTGCTTGTCGGTCAGCCTAGATCTCGTGTGTGACTGTGTCCATGTCTCTTTGTATGTCGGTTGTTTTTGTGACATTTGAATGTTTCTTTTCTTAAATTGATCCAAACCTCAAAACATGAAAACTCTCCAAGGTGTATTAAGTATTCAGCGGCGTCTACTTGCACAGGTAACCCAGCCAGGTCAGCCTCACGTTCAAGCCTTGCAACTTATCACATATATTGGTTGTGGCTTATCACTTTTAGGAGAAATTCTCACAGTTGTTGCGATCACATGTCTCAAGTAAGTTAACGGATGCAACGTAAATAATTTGGTCAGTAAATTGTCTTTTCTATTTGTGTTCCCTGACAGAATTCTGACTTTCGAAAAAAATTGACACCACTTAATATCCTGGCGAGATAACAATTTGATTGCTGTACATATTTTGGCAGGTTGACTAAATCCGAAACAAGTATAATTCATCTGAACCTCGTCGTGGCGCTGGCAGTTGCCCAGATCACTTTCCTGACAGGAATCGAGGCCACACAGAACAAGGTGATAGCGATACTGGTTTTCTTAATAATACGCTTAATGATCTGCATAACGACTTAACATCTAATAGGATGAAAGGAATAAAAAAGAGAGGAACTTTAAGAGGACAAAAGTGACAAAGAAATCGAAATGATTAAACAAAGAGCGATGCTCTGTTGCACTCCGATGTCCTATTCAGCACTGATTTCTAATTGTATAAGTTGTTATAAATGCGGTAAAACATTACTCAGCGAACTTTTCAAGTCCTTATTAATATCTCATTATTCACACTTCCAACCTAAATTAAACCTAACATAATTTTTATTGCTGGTATTAGGCAGCTTGCAAGATCGTGGCCGTCCTTCTCCACTATTTTAACATTGTCTCGTTCTGCTGGATGTTGGTCGAGGGGGTTTGGCTCTACCTGATGATAGTAAGAGTGTTTGAGACGGGACACAGCAGAATAAAGAAATACTGCGCTTGCGCATGGGGTAGGCCAACTATTGTTTATAAACCGCTCGCCTCATCGTTCTGTTAGCTTTCTTTATCTCTAGTCATCAAACTCTTTCTTTCTTTTTATCTTTTTACCGTTGTCATTTTTTCCTTGTATGGTAAGTATGTGATTATCGGAACTCTTTATCACCACTCGATTGCATGCACTGCTTCAAAGACTAAAGGCAGATCAGTTATTTTCAAAGCCTTTCTCGTGTTTAATTGCCAACTTTGTATTAATTTTTTTTAACTCACAACAGAAATTGATGAATATAGATAGCTTTTTTAAAGTAGAAGCACGTACTGGATCTCTTTTCAAGTGAGACGGTAGTTCAGAAAACCGACCATTATGAAATGAATCAAACAGCCTATTTAACTGAGCTTTGAACTGATTTAAACAGGATTTCCATTTGTATTTGTTGTGATCACATTATCTGCAAGTTTTGACGGATATGGCACAGAAACAAGGTAAGTAAGCTTTCATTAATTTATCAATCAACGTCGGAAATAACCAGCACGCCGTTTGAATGAACAGAAAAACGAAGAATTGACACGATGAACCTCATATCCATAAACCTGCATCTCATACAGCGCCAATTAGCAAAACGATCATGCTCGAAATACGTTGCTTCTGAAGTAAAAAGTTAACATCAGTTATCGTTTTTATTTGCCAAATTTGGCACTTCATACATATCTCTTCTCTACATTCGTTTCTTTCTTTTTTTGCAGTTGCTGGTTATCTGTTCAGAAAGGAACCATTTGGAGTTTCGTCGTACCCGTTATTCTCATTGCTTTGGTATGAAAATTTCCAATTTACCTTTTTCCGTTTCCTTTGACATATGGTGATAATGGGCTCACTTTTCTGTCTTTGTTTCCATAGGCAAATTCGATCATACTTGGGATGGTTGTTAAGGAGATTCTCAGGTTGAATCATCCAACAACAGAAAATAGTACAAAATATCAGTCTGCAAGGTAGGATGAACACACGTTGAGTGACACGGTAAGAGAGTTTTCAGTTTCCTGAAACTTTAAATTAGAAATGGACTACGTCAGGTAATTTCCACCATCTCACATCAGGTATCTACGTCTTATGTCTGTTCAATATCGTAAACCTTTCCTTTGTCACTGCTACCTTATTCCTTGTAAATTGTTATCACTTGGACAAGGCCAGACTCATGCTCTGTCGTCACCCTTTTCGTATATCTGCAGAGGAATCTAGGAAGGGGATCAAGGCCCGTAAAGGCGCTTGATGCAATGCGAGCTCGCTAGATCCTTCTCATCAATTACTTCCCGAATAAGGAGAAGGGACTGGATACAAGTGTGGGGAGATCTAAGCACACCAATTTTATCGTAACAGGTCAGGTGTTCAGTCGGCCATTGTACTCCTACCTTTGTTGGGGATTACATGGTTATTTGGAGTATTGACATTCAACAGCGATACTTTGGCATTTCAGTATCTGTTCGCCATTTTTAACTCGATACAGGTTTGTAATAAGTTTTGTTTCATAGTTTAATGCCAAATTCAAGGATATACTCTCAGAACAGGCAAGAATAACTTTAAAAAAGGTCAAAATGATGGTAACGGATAAAGAAGATTACCCCAGTGAACAAATGGAACACTCTTCCCGAAACAAAAAGGCTACTTCTCATAACTGGACGAGAGTTGGCGAAGCAGCGTAAGACCGTCAAATCATGTTTCAACCTATGGTATTCTGCAAACCGTTCATGTAAATCTGTGATATATTTACTTCGTTTTCTCATCACAAGGTTCATCGCCGTGCTCCATTCTTAAATATGCCCTCCGGGCCTGAATTTGTATCGAGATAAAGAGGAAAATATTTTTTTTCATTTTTCCAGGGATTTTTCATCTTCTTGTTTCACTGTCTTCTCAACTCTGAGGTGAGTATGCCTCCCCACTGAAGAAGTAGAAGATACTGATAAACCATCCGTAATATTTAAAAAATGATCAAGATTAAGACAGGGAGGTTACGTTCTGTTGCTTATGATAGGTGAGAAGAGCCTTTCACAGGAAAAAGAAGGTATGGTCCGAGTCGCATGACGCGTTCCAAACACATTCACTGACTCCACAAAACTACAATGACATCTCCAAGGAGACCCTCTCCACTGGAAACGACGTCAGGGTAAATGGCAAAAAAATAATTCATTTAAGTACAGCTAGACCACTAAGTGCATATCGTGAGGTATGTCAGCTACACAGGCTTGAGACCCGATATTTACCGCGCGAAGCGGCGGTAAAAGTCTAATTTTAAAACACAAAATGCAGAACTGTTTGGCAACGAGAAGTTGAACCTTTCACCTAGCAACTGATAGCAAAAAATTCGTTGATTGATTGACTTAAAGATATTCTGAATACGCTTATCGACTGGCAATAGGAACATACTATTATCATGACTTTTCTTCTCTCATTACAAACAACTGTTCTCATCATAGTAAAAAGGAAAATTTAAATTCTCCAACACCGTGATCTATTTCTACGTAGTCCCAATTCCCAATTCCCACTTGTAGTAAATACCTTCAGAACGTGCAAAGATCTATCGGTCTCACATTGGATTTCAATCGCTTTCATGTTTTTCGTTTTAGCGACCCGGGTCAGCGATCTCTGCCACGTCCGATTTGTCTAACAAACCATGACAGGTTGAGTGTCTAAGTTGCAGACTATCGTCGCTGGATGACTGGCTTTTAAAGTAGTTCAAACTATACAATTCTCAAGATTTGATTGGAAATTTCCCCCTCTAGCGGCTATACATTGTTTTTTAAATCAGTTCAAGGAATTTTGCTTTAGATCAAGGTAAAACTGGCCAATTTCTTCGTCTTAATGCTCCTTATATCATTTCCAGTTTTTCGAGAGGTCATGTGTGCTTACGAGTGTCACAAACACAATCATGGATCATTAATCAGGCAAAAACAGTTTATCATATACGCACTTACACATATCATGATAATAATGAAACTCTCACCCCTGCAAATTCATCTCATTGTATTTACTATCGATATGAATGTTGTGCGGTAGCCACACCACCTCGACCGAAGTAATCAAATTGACAGAGATAAATGCTAAATTTGCTGACATAGTTATTGTTTGCATATTTGCACAGATGCGTTTATTTCTACCAATAAATTATTTAAGTGTTCGAATTATTTGTCAAAGGAATTGAGCTCACCCCTTAATGTGTAATAAATAAGGCAACAAAGGTATAGCTAGCCATATTGAGAAATAAATAGATCAGCATCATTAAATAAGTAGTTCAGCTCTCATTCGCGTCGAGACCAATTGCGAACTTTACTACTTTGAGTTAAAAGGTAATAATTAGGTGACATAGCAGCGTAACACGTGGTCACATTAGTCACATGGTTTCGATGATTCTATCCGCAGATCTTTCTGAATAGTTTAAGACTTCAGTCGCGTTTTTCACTTGTTTATCGAAATCATGCTCTATTCCAACGTAGCTGGTACGCTGGGAGACTAAAACTGTCTTACTTTGCTGGTTGCGTATTCTACTGGTTTAGCAAATTGTCCTTTTTCTTCTACAGTGAAAAAGGCATTTCATATTTTTTTGGTCTTCTGTAAGATCACAATCTTTCAAGATAACCTGGGTTTTTATAAGACATTATCGCAGAAGATTTAAATAAAACGATCAAACTTAATCCTCTATTCTCTTCATCGTACCAATAATCATTTAATAACGTAGATTTATCTGTAGTTTATGTATAGTTAACGTTTATCATTGTTTTATATATTATCAAATATTTCCCATCTTAATCTTATCTTAAGATCTTTGCCCAGGATCATGCTCGTGCGCAATCCTGGGGTGTAGTACTCATTAATATTGAATAAATATTATTTACAAACAGCACATTGTGAGTTTTTCCATCATATAAATAGCAAGTATAGATATTATTGCGGTCATTTCTCTCCTTCGTAACAGTATGGGTCAACTAGGGTGAGAAGAATACAACACAAAATGCCACCGCATTACAGCGCTGCCGTTGTAAACGTTCGAAAATTTCCACCCTTCAAATATTTCCAAAATCAAAGCAACCAAACCAGAAGGTAAAAGTCATGAATGCGCAAAAACTGTATGCGGCGAGTGTCTCGAGAATAGCGACTCTAAAGTTTATCCGTATCGTCCTCAATTGTGACCGCTTCCATAGTACCAGTTCCTACAACTCAAAGGTGCACCATGCCGCCTTAACAGAGGTGTCAATCAAACAATAATAAACTACCAATGTTGTAAAAGTTCACAATACTACCTTATGCAACAGGCCAATAAATATCAATATCAACAATACCAAATGCAGATATATAAATACGAATCGCCGAAAACTTTGAGTGAGAGCTCGCTCTTAAAAAGCCAGCGAAACCTCTGTTGAACAATAAAGTGGAGCATTAATAAGTTAATTGAATTGCTCTGAAGAACAATGTAATTAAGTTCATTTTGAACGCTTTCCTCCAATTGTTCCCAAGTGTCAATTAACTCTTGTTGGATGCAATTGGGGCTCTGTTATACATGGACTGTAGATTTGTTAATTTAACTACAACATTAATCACATTTTCGTGACTCTAATTTTTCCCCAAATTTTAAAACAATTGATGCATGGTTAAAATTGCATCTTTCATATTTTCATCAACGACGGTTGCGACTATCATTCTGTGTTCTGCGTATAAAAAATCGCAGACGAAGCGCACGCCTGCTCAATTGTACGTGAACGTGCTGTCCACGTGATTCTCCGGGTTGTAAATTGGGTTTCTACGAGCTATCCCGTCATTCTGCGGGGCGTGTGAATCGAGAACACCATTAGGTTGTTGGCCATTTGTGGTGCGTTCCTTTTTCATCATCATGATATTAGCCCGCCATTTATCTGTTGTCTTCTTGGCCAGCTCTTTTTGTTCTTCTTTCCACCCACGGTGCTTGTGATAGAGGATTTCTAAGATAATGATCACGATTCCAGCTCCTATTCCAGCAGCAACCATGATAAATACCCCTGTTTACCAACAGAAATTTGAACTTTATTTCCAAGACCACTAATAACCAACATAATATGACTGTCATCTGGGTACTAATGGCATCACAAGGTAAGTGAAAGAATAGCATTATCCTCGACAATATTGGAATACTTCACCTTCCAGGTGGCCGCTTTTTCTGTTGTTGTTGTTGTTGGACAAAACACGTCAATTGGACAAACTAAAACACGTAACACTACCACACGTATGATGACGGTAACGGTTGAAAATGTATGCTTATTGCGAGAATTAAAAGTTCGATTTGTTTACCACTTCATGTCACCAGCAACAGCTCGAACGTCAATACTTTCAAACAAAGAACAAAAACTTTGCAATCATAAATTCAACTAAAAGTACGATTTTATTCAAATGAGTTTCAGTTTGCAAGCACACTTACCAAGCATGTGATTTAGCCCTAACGTAGCAGGCGAATTATTCTGTTCATCGCATTGCTTGGTGTCGATCCACGTGGTTTCCAATTCCTCCATAACCCCGCTCTCGTGAAAGTTTAGAATAGCAAGTGAAATTGCGTTACTCCACTGAGAACCCTGTTAAAAGAAATAAGGGACGGATTAACTAAGCTCACAACACACTTTTGTAAAAGCTTCTTAGTTGAAATCTAATTCATGAAGACTGCACGTCTTTCTCATTAACAACCACTGGAGAATTGTTTCAGAGCCCCACTGACGGCTATGTTTCATAACTTGCTCTTGCTTTAATCTACCCTGTAATTGATCTTGAAAACTCTCAACACTCTGATTTGATCAGATGCAAAAACTCAACGCTACTGCGACTTGGTTACCCCTTTTCTGATTTGAGTTCTCAAAGCGGCCTTCTGAGCTCGTATTGTTGATGATTTTTCGGACTGGTTGTGGTTCTGGCTTTTACAACACTCAATCGAAAAGCGCTCAACATTTCATGAACTGACTATCCCATACAGTATCATACTTCTTTCTGTTTTCGTTCCATTCAAACAGGAAACCAATACAGGCACCCTTGGTGTGTTTAAATTTCGATAGAACAGCTTAAGGGTTCAATAACCAAGACTGGAAAGAAATTCCAACACACATAAACTCACTTTAGGCATGCCAACGCCATAACCGGACCGCCCGAACAGTTCACCAGCAGTAGTAAGGTCACAGTTTACAGAGGCTTCGTAATAAAGGACGGGTGAGTCCCAGATGAACGCCTTTAATTCCCTGCAACAAGGAAAATCGCATGACCATTCATACTTCATGAGAAACGGATTAAAAGTACACGATACAAAGTAAATAATTTTCACAATCTATCCACGTTTCTAGTTTCTTAAAGACGCTGATCATCAGCATCTCTCTACAAAGGTAAACTATAACTGTGACGATTTTCTAAAAAATGTCCTGCAATTATTACCGCTGAAAACAATAACCTAACACTCAAGTATTGCCTCGTGTAATAATGTTGCAAAAAAGAAAGACAATGTGGCCAGTTGACATACACACAAGAGCCTCTCGCTCAAACATCAATTTGTATACACTCTGAGACTAGTTGATTGTTGTAAGATCGACTTGAATCGACTTCTCAAAGTGGGTATCTGTGGTATTCACAAATAGGAATGCCGCGCAACAAATGTTGCACAATTTCTCATAACAATAAATAAATTTGACGGAGCACACTTACCCATCGTTCACTTTCTGTATGGCCTCCTTCGCTGTCTTTACATTGTATTTTTCCATAAAAGTATACATGGATGACAGCTCAACCTGCCGCCTGAAATACGCGTCAACACTGCTGTTTGCTACTGTAGCGTACTTGAAATTTACAGACGGGTTACGCAGCTGAGTTGGAAAAAATGAACATGAAACGCTGTAAGTCCTTTCGATTATCCCTTGTATCTCTTCTTACGGCTTCTTCAACTGCATATTTTAACACCTCTTATTATTTGTTTTTTACTGGCTTTGACAAGCTGTAGAGTATGATAAGGGTTTCCTGGCCCACATATCTCGAGACACTCCTTGTGGGTCTTGCCAGTCTTACAATTCTAATACTTAAAATAATTCATCATCCCCTACACAACATGTCATGTGGGTAAGTTGTTACGCTGCCTGATTACAACAGTGAAAGGTTAACATAAAAATGTACACACATGTTCTACAAGAACAGGAAGGAAATTTTTTATGTTGCCCTCAGAGGTAAAAGGGATTTCGGGTATATATGCAGGTTCAATAACAATAACTTGTGACCTCGCCTCAAGCTACGATGTTAATGCAACTACTTTGACTCACGTTTGGATCTTCTATGCCGCTGACCACAGCCTTAGGCCGATCAAGAACAAGAAAGGCTGCCAGATTAGCAGTGTAGCTGGCGACAATGATCATTGCAAAGCCTGCCCATACCATTCCCAGCACCCGAGCACTAAAACTACGTGGAGTACCTGAAATACAGCATACAAGAAATCGATAAGTAAGATGTAATCAACCTGCTGGACAGAAGAATGTGTTAAAATCGACGCACTGATAATGAAACTGTCACATCCACATATATGATGTCCGTAAGCAAACGTGACAAAACTACCTCGAGCGCTTCTCAAGTAATTATCAAAATGTAAGTGACCAACACCCGATTTTTTCAGGAATAGTTTTACGTTTGATTGATGGGCAACATGGCCCAAGTGTGAAGTTACTGCTCTATTCAATCACCGAGAGTGTACAACCAAGGTCAAAAAGGAAATAAAAGACTATTAAACTCTGTACCACATGTGAAACTATAGCTAACCTTCTCCGATGCCACTGTTCAGTAACACTCCCCACGAAAACCACATAGCACTGGACAAATTAAGAGCTGTCTCCTCCTTTTCTTTCCGAGCTAGTTTGAACCGGCCAAACGGACTAAACCGGTCAAGCAGGTAAAGTATAACTGCCACTATGTGCACTGAGAGTAGAACCAGCAGCCACAAGTTTATCTGGAAAGGTCGCAAAAATGAGTCCAGTCTGTTCCTACTTTGATCCTGGTAAGAATAAAATGTGACACTGGTTAGTTTCAAGGGACTACAGTGCATTGAGACTTGAAAGTAATTCAGTCAGTATATAACTAAAGTGGATTACACACCTGCTGCACAAACTGCGCACTGGTAAATGGTGACTGACTACCTCACTAAAGAACTTACTGGATCGATAACAGACCAATGAGCGCGGAATGAATTGAGGATGTCGCACACAAACTATCGATGGTTATACGGGCAGACTCAACAAAATTCTGACAAATACAACGACGAACGTGCTGCCGAACACAATTAACATTGTGGAGGATATGGACGACAGCTTGATATTATGGAGAGCGGAGATGACACGGGACGAGCGCTGTAACGAGCGCTGTAAAGGCAGGATGTATATGTACGCATGGACAGACGGAGTAACAAACGAACGTAACGAGCAAGGGGCAAATGTAGAAATGTGCGGGTGTGTGGACGTGCAGACGTACAAATGTGCAAACGTGCGGACTTGCAGAAGAGCGGACGGACAGACGGACGGACGAACTGAAAATCTGATGGATTGATGTGAACTGACGGACTGGACGCCAAGACGAGTGACTGGACGGGATGACTCGTAAACTGAGAAACTTGCTGACCAACCAACTGACTGACTGTCTACCTTGGACGCTGCCGATTTTCCAAGACAGTTATAAACCACAAAATACGATCTTACCTTTCTGACAAGTATGGTAAGTCCTTGATACTTAAAAGGTTTGGAAAACTCGATCCACTCAGCTCTTTCATTATTGATTGTCAATGCAGCCACAATAAGATCAGCTTTACCATCGATCACTTCCCCTACCATACCATTCCAGCGCTTCATGTCCGTGCCATTTACCTTTGGCATAAAAATATTTTATTCGTTGTAATTAATGATTGTTTAGAGCGCGTTTTAATTGGTATAAGTGTCACTCTTAATATACCCGTATCTCTTCTTGATATTTTTTTTCATGCTTCCCATCGAATTGATCAACGTATGTACGCTATACCAGTAGGTTTGTTTGACGCCTTCCCCTTGATGAAATCACCCATAAGAGAGATACAAACTCACTCTTCGCAGAGAGCCATAGCTCCCGTCTTCAGACAAATGAACATCGAAGGTAAAATTAACTTTCTCTCCCAGTCGATATAACAAATCCATACAAAAACCTACAAGAAAAAGTAAAATAATAGGTAATGTTAGGGGCACTGTAATTAAGAGCATTTCTAATGCCATCTTCTTTTTGAAATCACCAATAGTGACAAACTGATGTTCAATTGTAAATGAAATAAGGAACTAGTAATGGTTGGAATGGGAACTAGAAAGAGTCTCTTGAATTTAACTTCCAGAGTTATTGCTGCCCTACCTCTGCACCAAGAAATTGAAAAAACATCTATGTCGGAAAGCAACGAGTAATATTACTATTTCTCTCAGAACAGAGAACGCTCACCCATTTGAAGCATTTCCCAGAAAGTCCTCGTCTACCCAGAAGGTAGAGCCCAGACCTCTCAATCTGGACCCAGTACCTTGTTGTGCTGTGGCCCGCAAGTTGAGTCTCCCATAACAAGTACAAAAATCAACCTTAATATCTGTGTACCGCTGAACTGTCACGGTTAATAGTACATCATAGTACTGTTACACACAAGTATATGCAGAAATATATTTTTTTGCTTGAATCACTCATCCGGGCTTACCATAGCAGCAGTGGTCATCCTTATCGGTTGCCACCAGTTTGGTGTGTTCACCATATACTTTCCCACTACATTTAATATGCCTCTTTTTCTTTTGTGCATCATCAAGATCCTCACACCTGCCACTTTCTGGTAAAGCCTTGATAAATACAAATGGCTCCCCAACTAAAGTCACAACCTGCAACAAGTATGAAAAAAACTGTGCACCTCACACATGATGGACATGACCCATGAAAAAGTCATCATAGTCAGCTACATGCATGTCTTCTTAAGGTTCATGAAACTACTGTTTTTACACTTTTAGGGGGCAAAAATGACAGCCTGATAGTAAAAAAGGTGTATGCCTAATGTTAGAGTCATTCAGAGGACCCTGACTGCTTCACTTAGGGCTCCAAGCAAATGTTGCTTAGTGCAGCAAGTTGAGGGTAAAATGACGAAACCAGAAACAAACACTGGTCAATATATTTCTTTCATCGGATAGCTGTTGACGAACACTTAGAGAAGGAACCAGCAACTACTTCATTTTATTACTTGCACACATGCATGATCCCTACCCTTAAATGAGTGGAAACAAAGATTCCTTTTGGCTTTTCCTCTAAGCCTCCTGGCCAAAAGACTTTGTCAGAGATTGACACCTGCCAATCACGATACTCTCCAACAATCCTCAGCTTTTTATCTCCCTTTTCTCTGAGGTTAACAATCTGGTAAGCAGTGTTGATACGATCACCTTTCCTGTTCAGTACGATATCACCTGTCTTGCCATTGATGATGGTTGTGTTAACTAGCTCACTAGGAATCCAACCAAACAATAATACCACACAATTAACATCTTGTTTATGTTGAGTCAGTTTCTCTGTGCATGGCCTTTACAGTTTTAATTTCCTAAAGCTGTCAAGTGTACAACTTACAGCACATAAATTACTGCCCTCCCCCATACCCATGCCCCTGCCCCTTGAACAAAATGCCCTTTTAGGATGATGTTCTTTTCTATTAGCCAATTATTTTATGACAAATTTCACACAAATTTAAAAAAGAGCACAGAATATGAAATCCACTGCACATAAATTTCAGCTTGCAAAAAGGGCTGCTTCAACCCTCAACATTATAAACAATGAAAAAATACCCCCCAGTATAAAAAAATGCCCCCTAAATTCATTAATATCAATAATAATTGATACTAAATTGAGGATAAGTTTTAATACTAATACCATAATACATAAATTTTTAATCTGCAAACAAATTTGATTCACTAAACTCCCTTATAGTACCAAAAACCCTGCTACTTAAGGATCAGTGTTGATTTTCAAAATACATTTCAAGAAAATGTGACACTCCATGGGAAAAGGACACTAACACTTTTCCGTTAAACAGTCTAGAAAAATGGAGGCAGATGTTGTTTTAACAGAAACAATCTTATCTGGCCATGATTTGGAAAAGATAAATAAATCAACATTTATAAATAGGTGCCTCAATTTTGTACCCTCTTAGCTTAGTATTTCTTGGGATAACATTGAGTGCGCTGTGTGTTGATGACAGAACAATTACAACACAATATCATCAAATGTTATGATGTTCATAATGTTGCCCATGCTTTTGGAAAATACTCACTTGAATAAAGTTTGACCACTCTCCCATTGCGTAGTTTGTTGGCAGCTGGCAGGTGGAGAAGTCAAATTATTTCCAGAAGTCATCAGTCTGTCCAAGGCTGTGGCCACAAGGGTAACAGCATCCTGAATCTGAGCAGACTCATTATAACCATGAAGTAACTGCATTCCAATCACACCTGTATAACAAATTTGCATGAACATTTAAATTTTCAGTTCAAATAAAGATGTTACAGTTTACGATGTCACTGGTATGTAAACATGTAATATTCATGCAGACTGAGGAATGAACTTGGCAAAGAGAGAAAAAGTTATTTATGATCAATAAACTTTTACTAATGGTAATAAGTAGCATGTTGTACTGTACATTTATCATGTTTTTTTCCCAACATATGAGAATTTAAACTGATGTTACGAGCATGTAATTGGCCACAATTTGAAATTTGATAAATAACAACAAGAAGGGTGGACAACAAATAATCAAAAATAATTAAACCTTCTTAAACAATTTCAGACCGGGTTAACCCAGCATTCAGTATAAAATTTCTGTGTTCTCAATGTCATGTAAGGACTGCTGCATCTGATATTTGCCAATGCCTCTTTATAAACCTTAAAGCTGGTGGTCTCTTTTAAATATGAAAAATATCTTTGTCTCCTTTAATTAAATCTGAGTTGCAATAAATACCCAAGTTATAAAAATAACAGCTCCAAGAAGATTTTAAATGATTTTGAGTTGCTGCTTGCCATAAGATTCTGATGAATTTTTAAGTATGTGTAGGCACTGGTGTCACTTTTTAATAAACTAAATAACTGATTTGAAGTTTTTTTGTTGTGTCACCTTGAGGCAAATAACTCTCAGCTCTCCCTGACAAGGTTTGTTGGGTCACCAGCCACACAAAGCCCTCCCCAGTCATCTTTAGATATGTGGCATTTTGATAAACAATAGCTGCATCCTCCTCACTATCAGAATAAAGGAAAAATAATCTGTCTAACCCTTCTGCATCATGAAATTCAAGTAAAACTTCATTTTAATTCAAATACCATCCACTATACACTGAGGCAAACTATATTTATTTAAAATCCAGTAATGATCAAGTGAATTAAGTTAAATGCATTTGTTCAGATATAGAAAAACTATTCTTTCATTGTGTAGACTATCCATTGTCTTGGCAGGTTTCTTTACCTTACATCTTAAAATTGTTAAGCAAAGGACCTACTATCAATAAAACTAACTATTTGTAGAAATATATATCTATAAGCCACTTTGAAACATTACACCCCATTTAAACAGTTATGATAGTAAAATAATAATTTCAACTATCACGCACATTGGAACACGAACTCTCATGCACTATCATTGACTATCCTTGACTATCATGTACTCTGGACATGTTCAAATTTGCCATCATAGTTTACAATAGTTTTTATCATTTGAATTGCGCAGATGATGGTGAATGATAGTTTTTCAGTCAGCAGTTTTGCCAAAAATGGGCTCAAACCAAAATGTCAAATGGTAAAATGACTAAAGTAGTTGCAAAAATTCTGCAGGATATCTTGCAGTTCATTCTCTTCATCTCCTGGTAGGCTTCATGAGTATCTTTAACTCGCAACTTTTTAACTAAAATTTCAAATACCACCGAAATTGCTGACCTCAGCTCACGCCATATTTGTTTACAATTACACAATCTCATTGCATGATTTTGTCAATTATCACCATCCATCATGAACCATTTTAATTCAAACATGATAGCCAATGATAGTGAATGAAAGTTGAAACAATCATGGCCTATGATCAACTATCATGACCATTTGAATGGGACTTTAGTAAGCTTTAAAACAAGAGCAGTAAGGTAACAAACCTAGCACTGAAGAGAATGACTCTTGATTGCAATTTCTTTATCTTCATTAAATGAGATGTGACATTCACACATCCAGCAGGGAACATGATGGTTTTCTCAATCTAATAAATATAACCCATAACAAATTCCAATTACAAGAGCCTCAAAATACCATTTAAAATGAAGGATTCAGTTAACCTGAAAAATTAATACTTTGATAAAAGCATGAAAAACTACAACTACAAGACTATCATGGAGGTTGAGAGGCAACAATCAGAACTGAATGCTGTTATAAAAAGCTAATGGTCATTTGACAATGTATATACCAAACAACATTCAGTTATCTCTGCTCATCTTTGGGCAGTCAGCTTGCCAATTTGCAACATAGATGAGGTTACCAAGTGGTTAGGTGAATTTACATTGAACCTTGCACATCAATTGCAGGTTTCAAATTTCTTTTGGTGTATTTCTGACATAAAGTACTGAGCACTAGAGCTTGTTAGGGTATTATCTGACAAAAAAAAAATTGCAAGATCGACTTGCATCCTATACAGGAAAGGAGGTATAACATTTTCACAACATATACATGCTACACAAACCTGAACACTCTCAGAGGAGGCCTGACTCACAGTAAGACTAACAAACATATTTTGCCACATCATCAGTACATTTTTGTATTGGGGTTCTGAAGAACAAGAACAGGTTATATGTGTATGCACTATACCTTAATATTATATTCTGCAGCTAGGCCTGTGAACCTGGTTGCAATCATACGGCTGTCCTGGTCAGTGCTTGTTAGTAGAACAACACTCTTCCATTCATAGTGTTTCAGCAGTCCCATCCAAACATTAGCCTGATCTGAATATGATGGTACAGTGCGCAAGAAAGACTCATGGATTGACTGCAGAAAAAAAATTGAATTATATTGTGGGTAAATAACTAAAATAAAATCCTCCTTGAAGTCTGAATCATATTCCAAAGTTAGAGTGGTTGTTTCTTGATAACATATTTCAAGCACAAATACATCCTAGTGGCCCAAAACACTTAATTCAACATAAACTTCTACTAGTAAATAGAAAAGCTTTTATTCCATCTCTGCTTAAGTCCATGCATAAATTAGAATAGTATTATTGTAGCTTTTAACCAAATACTTCTATTGCAGGCCAGTAAGATGTCTAATTACCCATAATAAGGTCAGATCATGAGGTAGTTGGTTTTTAAGCAAGGTTTAAAACAATTCAACAATTGACATTCTTACATTTCAATGCTAAAAATAAGTAGTTGTTTAAATGAAAAGGTAACTTACTAGGTTTGGTTTGGCTGCAAATATTACTTTTGCATAATATAGTCTATACATTGGTTTGCACTCAATCATGTATATATATATGTGCTAGTTTGTGATTAATTCGGGTTGGCAAAAATTAAAAAATTAAATGTGTTACAAGATACAATTTTCAAAAGGCAGACACTTATACACATTTGCATATAATTTGAAAAGGAAAAGATTCTTTAATAATTAACGAATTTTTACGGATTTTGAAGATTATGTCACAAAAAAATTACTGGTTGCCCCTAGCCTCTGAGTACACCAAAAATATCACAAAGAAAAATTAGTGTATAGTTAAGTTTTTTTAAGTTTTAATAAGAAAGTTACAAGGCAAAAAAAAAACGCAATATAAGTACATGCACAGCTTGAGGTGTTGATGTTTGTACCACAGCATTCTCCTTTGGATTTTATGCAAAACCGAAGATATTTTTGTCAAATCAACTCAGCATTAAACCCTTGTTCAACTTCATCCTCATAAAAATCTTGATGATGTGAATAAAAAGTACCATTTCTACTTTTTCATCAAATATTGCCTTCAGCTTCGCATGTTCACAATAAAATTATTTTGCATTAAAATGCAATAAATGAAGTTTATCTTCTTCCACATCTCATTTGACTTACGGTAACTTAAGGCACTTAACGAATTTCTATGAGCAATATCTAGTTCAGATAGCTTTTAAAACTTCCACAAGTGTTCCCATGTTTTGCCTTAGATGCAGCATGTTAAAAAACAAAACAATATCTTTCCTGTTACCAATTCTCGTTCAAAATTTCCTCTTTTTCTGTGAATGTTAAGCAAATTATATTAGGTACAAACTTTTCCTTGGTTTTAAGTGTTCACACCGGCAAAAAATTTGCCGGTCTCGTGGCTCTTTTACTGTAAAACGAGACAGTGGGATTCAGGTAAATTACCCTGATTCAAGAATTATAAACCAGGAGAAATTTTAACCACATAGTATTTACGTACATTTATATTGCCAAATAAAATTAAAGTTTTTCAAGCACGTCTTCGACATCGCTAAATACTTCACCGAGTCATCTTCACAGAAATTGGTCAACCTCACTTGTTGAGTTTTACTAGTATCAAAAATGGTCGCGTCGACTGCAAAATGTCATTTTGCAAATTGATAATGCAGATTGTGTGGCAATTCAAAGTAATTCCTTTGAAAAAACGAGACCAGTAAAACACAATATATTTGTTCATTTGAGTCCAAAAAATATAACTGGTAACTTTCAATTAGAGCAAAATACTTACGCTAGAACATAAACTTCAGAATGTATTTTATCTAATTCAAATTCCCGTCTTACCTTGTCCGAGAAGATAGTTTGTCGCGCTGAAATTCCAATGACAGGAATTTGATAGAAACCGCAGGCATACGAGATTGAAATTGGCGGCGAAAAGTCGTCTTTTGGGTGGCTGACTATAACAGTAACGACTCCATTGGCGACCAAATTCTCGCAAACATCAAGAGCCGAGCGAATAGGGTTTGAACTCAAAACATAAGAGCTTCCATTCAATTTTACTCTCCTTAGTAAACCACTTGAATTGTCGTTTATTTTTCCAACGGCTTCCTCGAAGATTTTCTCATGGCCTAGAGAGGATAACATTGCTCCTATGCCGAAGAATTTTGCAGTGTTTCCTTCGATCAAAGGAAGGAAAGCGGCATACAAAAACAAAAATCTCCAAAAATTAAAGCGAGGTCTGTCATCCATAGTTGCCAATTTTACATGGAGAAGACTTTCCTTTCTCTGAGATGACTGTCAAAGCTAACAGTTCAGCTTCATGCGAACCCCTAACATAGCAAATATCTATTACAAATTCTTGTCAAAATTGTCAGGTATGTGAATGTTCCGAAATTCAGCGCATTCAGAATTTGTTTTTTCGCAGAGTTCTTTGTGATAAAATAGATTGGTGAAGCACTTGTTCCATAGCAATTCTTTCCCACTGTGTAAACGTTACAGGTAATTGATTATGGAAGGCTGTCTTGGCTTTTCTGAATGATTTTACATCTCATTTCCTCCCGTCATTTTGACCGTGTGTTTACCGAAGGACAAGGAGCATGAACCTAGTGTTTAGCTAGGTATGATGGGTAAAATATTCTGACATTGGATTGATCGAAGTCAGGCGGAACCTGCTTAGACGGAAACGTCTGAAATCGCACGTTACCGTCCAAAATAAGACAGGATCCTCCGGGCCTGTTGCATCAGACGGAATCCCAAATAAAATGACATCCTCAACGGTAAGCCGAAATCGTCCAAAATGAAACCGAATCTTCTGAAAGACAGAATCGCCCGAAAACAGACAAAGTGGTCAGTCCAAGACCGAAAAACCAATTAAAAATTGAACAGAACCATTTGAAACCAAGCAGAACCACTGGGAATCAGACGGAACTATCCGGAATCGACAGAATCCTTCCAAATAACATAATACTGAAATGTTCCAGCAAAGATCCCAGATTCAAGGGACAGGGAAGTCCGAAATTGCAGGTGACTACATTCATTCCCCAAAATAGGACCTAGAATTAGGAAGAAAGAAGAAACGTTGTTGCTATGGTTTAAGCTCGTTCTCGGTTGTTTAAGATCTTGGAAGACCCTTAAATGAGGGCCCAGAAGTGTCGCCCACTTCAAGCAATCCATCAATTCATCCTTTCACTTCAAGCAATTCATCCTATCTCACTCACTATTTTGATTTAATTTTCTGACAATAGGCATTGGTTCATGGTAGCGAATGATATAGCAGCTGATGAACAATAGCCAGACACTTCTTAAGTTTACTAATACCAGCATTGTGCGTAAACTAAACTGAGAGAGAGGTATAAATTGCTATAGTATTTGTGATAACAAAGTGGCTTTATCCGGAAAGTGAATCTTTAAATACTGTATGCGAGAGATCGCAGCTTTAAGGAGAGAACAGAAGGCGAGACAGAAGGAATCCCAGTGATACAAAAGAGAAAAAAACATTTTGTAAAAAGTGTACCTGACCGTCCTTTGGGGCACCTATTGTTTTGATAACAACACCAAAGTAAATGGTACTGATTGAAAATTGCATAACGGCGGCTTAACAGAGATAATTAATGTTCACCAAAGAGCGTCCGAGTAGTGTGTTGACTGCAAAGAAGAGAGCGCGCCACCGAAAAATCCCGCGATAATGCCGGATAGTAGAGATGGTCAAGTTGTGAAGTTGCCGCAAATTGCCGCCAGGGAACGTGGTCCTGGACCGGCAAGATACATGTTGAAAAGCCTGTGCAGATCCGATAGCCATGACATAACCAAACATCGTAATCCTGCATATAGCTTAGGCCCAAGGTTGCAACCTGTCAAATCTTTCAACAGCCCTGGGCCGTGTTATCTTCCTGCCCCTGGAGTGACCAGCGTGGGACCCGACGGAACCCCTAAATGGTCCATGCTAGGAGCTGCGAGCAAAACGACAAAATTTAACCCGCCAGGTCCAGGTAGGAATGATATCTGGGTTGGTAACTTGTGGTAACCAGTGTCGCTGAAGTGTAAACATATAATTTAAGTGTAAAGTATAACACAAGACAAAGCATTTGATCACGTTGCACCAATCAAGTCTAAAATGATCATAGTGGGTAATTTATCTTCAAGTAAACATCTTTGGCAAGACATAAGAAGCTTCACAATAAAGTTTGCGAAGAGAGAAATCGTTTACTATAAAGCAAAAACCAACAGAATGCGGTGTTAGCGCTTTGTGTGGATATCACTGGACAATGTTAAGCAGCTTAACACATCTGTATCTCAGAGTCGGTATAATCACACGTATAAAACTTTCTCTAGACGTTTCTTTACCAGTTTTTCTGTAAGGTTCTAATTTTTAAAAGGATTTATTGGGTGAGATTTTGAAAACAGAGGTAATTTACTACTTTAACCTCCGAACCTGAGAGAGCCTGTGTCCGAAAACAATCGGACAAACGTTTAACTCTTGAATCCAAAAGGAAACAAACTTCCAAACTGAGACTCCACCAAAACTGAAGAAGTCCCTCACGCGAAAATCGTACGCGTAACAAATGCTCCAGCAGATGAAGATGTGTTTTCATATTTCACACGTCAGTCTAAAAGCGTGCGCGCGCTGGTCGCGCGTCACACCAGTTCGATTCTCACTTCTCAGCTGCGTGATTTTTTTATCTTGAATATAACCAAAACCACAATTTTATTTCAAATTATTCCAAACGTTCTAGAAATCTTGATCATTTCAAATCTTCTCTTACCGGCTGCTTCTCTCAAAACTGTATGACCATTCAATATCAGTTTAACTCATAGACTCCATTCAGTGTTTTTTATGGGTCTATTTAGTTGTAGATCACAGATAACCTTAAAACAATTGCAGTATGAGAGCAAAACAAAACGTGGCACACGAGCCACAGGCCAAACCAAAGGAAAAGAAATTAATGTATATCGCCAGCCTTGCGGGGTACTTCGATAGATCGCAGCCAACAACCAATAACAGTGGGTGTTGCATTCAGTTCATCGTTTAAGTAAGGTATACTTTTCAGCGTCGTTACCATCGAGGTTTTTCTGAATGGAATCACTGTTTGAAGGAGCTTCGTCGTGGTTTGTGTCTCCTAAAAAGATTTTCAGGAATCTTACACCGTTCCTCAAGTTTTTTTTCACAATTTGTTCCGATCGTCTTTATCTCTAGCAGCATTCTCGTCAGTTTTCCCTTTGATTATCATTATCTCTTTTATGTCCTTAAATTTAACAAGGCTAATGTCTTGTCGACCTCCTCAACTTGAAGATAGTTTTTAATATCGCAAAACAAAATCTTAACAAGAACGACGCAGCCTCGAATTGTATTTCCACTTGCATTAGAAAGTGTTTATACCCCGCCCACAGCTGATTCGTCTGGAAGAAAGTCACCAATACCCTCCCTCAGAATACAATGGGTGCTTTTTCCAGGGAAACAGTGATTCGAGATGTGCGCGGTTTCTTGATTTTCGTCAAATTCTTTTGGTTGTAATGATTTCCGATGTCTTCCATCTGTTGGTTTTAATTTTTCCTTTTTACCATTTTTGTTTTTCTTGCGAGTTTCAGTTGTTCGGTTTTTATGGCTCTTTGGTTCCAGTCGAACCCCATGACATTATAATTCGGATGTAATATTCAATATGTGACGTCACCCATTATAAATTAGGTTCGCGTTAATTCAATTTTCCATTGTACGCGTACAGTTTGATAAACGATCAGTGTTATTGCTTGGCCAACATGTTCTTTCGGCCAGGATAACCAGATAAAAAGACAAACAGGCTGTGAAATACAACAGTCTGTTGAAAACAAATGGCGCAACAAAATAAGGCAAATAAGGAAGACAGAGACGAAAGTCAAAAAGAGGTTGAAATCGGTGCGAAATGTCGGGGACCTGGGCCGGCGAAATATCTTCTTCCTGGAACCATTGGAGTTAAAGGCCATGATATTCGCAAGCACCGATGTCCCGCATTTAGTTTTGGCCAACGACATAAGGAATTTTCGTCTAGCATTAGTCCTGGTCCAAAGTACATGTTCACCGCCTATGTAACACGGAATGGAAGGGAAGCAGCCCCAGCGTTTTCACTTTACAGTCGCACAACAGATAAGGTCAACCTTTACACACCCGGCCCAGGTAATCGGGAAAAACCATTTGATAACTATTATTTTTGATACAAAGGAAGTAGGGTTTACGCTTCTGTTGCCATAAACAGACAAATTGAGGTTCTTGTGTGAAAGTAAAGGATGACAAGTATTTTTGCCGGAAGTGATTGTTTGAAAAGCGGAGATGACATGTATTTTGGCGCCCTCTGCGTCGTTTCTTACGACAAAAGCTCTTTAGGTTTGAAAGGACTACCATTGACTATGAACGAAGAAAAGTAAAATCTTTTTTTGAACAGGTCAATCCTGCTGAATATTAACTTAACTCAAATTAGCCACGATTACTGTTTCCCGCACTTGTGGTTAGTTGTTCCTCCATGGTGACCTCTATTTGTTTGTTAGCTTGTTTATTTTACCTGGCTAAAATGTACAACACTCAGATTCGTTGTTTTTTTTTTTTTTTTTTTTTTCAGGACAATACTCTCCAGAAAAATTCCATCCACCCCACGAACGAAGCGAGCCAAGTTTCACCTTTGGGAAACGTACCAAAATATTATTTAAGGACCCCACCCCCTCACCAAATTCCTACTCCCTCCCACCCCTCATAGGACCAAAGGGTGTTAACAAGGCCTCAGCCCCGGCTTACTCGTTAAGCGGACGCTCTGGTATTGGCGGATTCAGTGAAGATCTCAAAAAGGTTAATCAGTTATTGTTTATTGAGAAGTACCCATATATCGCAGATAATTTTTTTGTCGTTGTAATTTAATGTAAAAGTAACGCACAGTACCAAGTGGCAGTGGCAAGGGGTCGAATGACCAGAGTGACCTTTATTAGATATTTTAGTCTATTCTTGAGCGAGACACTAGATGGATAGATCAAATGATTGTGAGATGGCGCAGTTTAGATTCGATTCAGAAGTCCATCAGTTCGGAAATGATAAGTAAGAACTGGTCCATGTCCATGTCCATATCAATGTTCATGTGTGTGCACGAGATATGCTGTTAGTAAAATGAGCAGGAGTGCGATTTAAAACGCCAGACGAGGCATAACTTTTTCCCTGACAACCGCAACATCCGCCTGCGCTTGCTTGCCATTTTTCCGGGCGGTTCTTTTTCGTTCGTCTCCACTTCCTGAGAGCCTACCTCAGGCTGTTTTTTAGCCTCTCAACTATCAATTACACCGTTCCGTGATGCAAATTTTTCTTTTTTTGTTTGTTTGTTTGTTTGTTTGTTTGTTTCATTGTCTGTTTATCTCGACGAAGACACCCGGCCCAGGAACTTACGAGGTAACTCATCCTAATACAAGCAGAAAGAGAATGCCAGCATACACTATGAATGGACGAAACTACATGCCAACAGATACAACATTAAAACCAGGACCGGGACAACACAGCCCTGAAAAGGTAGGCTTGCATAACTTAGGACTGACTGTGGTAAGTATTTAACTTAGCCACTGACCTCTCGCACCTCGACATCTTCACCCGTGTACCTATACTAAAATCATTTGTGTGTGTGCAAATGATCCGCTTAGATGATGCATACTTTTAACTTTAAGATACGAATGAAATACTAGAATCTATCCTGCTCCTTAAACATTGCACGATGTGAACATACCATTTGTATCTGTTACATCTGGAGACGAGAATTTCATCAAGCAGGGGAACCAATTCAACTTCGGCATGGCGTTTTCGCCTCGGCTCGGGATTTGCTAACTTTTCTTGTGTTCGCCAAACATCCCGAGTGGGCTACCACGACGGTAAATCGATAGAAAGAACGATATGATGAAGAGGCTTTCCAAAGTGTGGATATGATTAATATTGTTAGGCTACTGATAACGATATTGGGTATTTTCATAGTGAATAAATGTCGTATTGGGCATATTAAATTATTACAACTGTTCGCCAACTACCCTAAGTTTTGGGTTCCAATGCACAGCATTAGTAACTCATGTATCATGTATCCTGAGAAGCTAGAACTCCTTCTGCATTCCAGAACGCAACGATATGAGTTTAGAACAAAGGTGGTGTTTGGGAGCGGGAGTGTTCAGGTGATCAAAATGTAGAGACCAGTTCGTAGGCATGATCAAGCACAATGGACCTATGCGATATGCCACTTTGCGCGTTTTTTTAGGCACTATACGAGGTGTACCAGTGCGCGAAATTTTTAGATGCGTGTTCTTGGATACTGCAAGGTATGTGTAACTGCGCGCATTTAGACACTGTGCGACATCTATGAACGTGCGCTTTTAGACGGCGTGTGATATGTGTAGTGGCCCGAATAGACATTGCGAGCCTTTGGACAAGGCGCGATATGTGCACACTTTTTGAAACTGAGTTTTTTATTGTTATTGCGACTATCATTGCTCATTAATGTTTTTAAGATCATTTTTATTATCACCATCATTATTATCACTAGCTATTCTTTCTGAACTGTTCGGCGTTGAGTCCCTTTTGTGAGAAATCGTTTAACGCGTCCTTGAAATTATCGAGCTTAGGTCCTAAATCAAACGTTAACAAAGGCTGACTTACTCGAGAATTATAAGATTCGACTAAACTTTAATGCATGGCTCAATCCAGGATTACTTGTGGTGCGACATCATCATGAACACTGTTGCTGACTTGCTTGCGTTTCTGTTGAGCTTGACGGCGATTGACTACCTCTGTGATGCTAAGGTATTTCTCCACACTTCGTCTGGTCCTGGTCACAGATGAAAGTAACGAAAATAATGATGATATGGTTGCATTTGTTACTCCACAGGCTGTAGATCCAACGGCAGGCCCAAGCTTTTCATTCCGCATCAGACATTCTGAATATATGCTACCTATTCAAGAAGATCCATTACGATAACCTGACTAGTTACGAGGTAAACGCGACTAAAAATCACCCTCAAAAGTGCGGTATTCAGGGCGTTTATCACACCAAGTCTACACCATCAACTTCTTATACTCTCATATCTGGTTGTTAGCACCAAACGTAATTTTAACACTCAACTTTTTACATTCTTCTTTTTAATTCGTAATCGCTTGTATCTAGCAGAACCTGTCCCCAGATCTTGCTCATGCGACACTCCTCCCCAGTATTTCTACAGCTTTGTTACACTCTGTTCCATTCTCAACCCATTCGTCTGTCTTGAATTCTTCTAACTTGCTTTTAAAATAACCAAGCACTGTGTCATCAATGCATCAGTCGCAACGAACCTCTTCCTTTTATTCAGTTCGCATTCCCTGCGATTGTCACAGCACGCCCACCCAACGTCCTAACCATGTATCACGAGTGATAACACTCCTTGGCTGGTAATAGCATGTACTCTTCTAACTCATAACTCACTCTTTTTTCAAATAAAACACATCATCACTGCTTTAAAGGGATAATATCATTCCGCAAGCCGAAAGAGTGTTAACTTTAGTCACCAATTTCGTTCACTTTGTAATCAGAGGTAGCTAGTCAACTTAAATTACTGGGCGCTTACCTCGCTAAATTACTATCAGCTAAGTTAGGTAGGAGTACATATGACGGCCTCGAGATCTATCAGTACTTATTTCCTTAGTCAGTTAGGCTAGATTATGTGCCATATAGGTTACTTAAAAGAGGAATAAAAATTTTATGAAATCATGTACTGAAACGTATTTAGTGTTGTCTTGTCTATTGTTTGTTTGACGTAACTTCAGAGCTTAGATATCAAGTTACTGCAGGCCGAATATAATTGAAGCAAGTGAAAGAAGCTCACAAAGACTTTAACTGACGGGATACATTTGCACTCAAAATAACTTTAAGTTCTGAGCTTAGTATAATGGTGGTTTAACTAAGTTAATTGGATCTGCCACTAGTCCAATGTCTGAAAGATAACTTCCATAAATTTGTTTAAACCCAGTATTGCCTGGCACCATGCATAGAAACGGACCCTTTCTACTTCGCAATAGTTCGATAGTTGCAAGAGTCGACAAATATCACAGGAGAGACAAATCTACTTTTCTAACGCCGCCTTTCTGTGCACATCTATCTTACTGTAGATAAACTCACTTATGGTCACTGGTTCCCTATCAACAAAAACACTAACAGAGAGTAATTCATGGTCACTCGAATTAATTAACTATAGGATAGATTCGCGGACTCAGGGTCAGACTACCCGCCTTAGCTATTAAATCTTTTGAAGAGCAAATCATGAATTGTCTCCTTACAATTTCGATAAAACCATAGAGAAAACTAGTGAATTAGAGAGAGTTTAGGTAAGAATTTAGGAAGCTAGTGTTATAGTTATCTGAATTGAATACGACTGACTGAGGTGTTACCGCTAGAGCGCATTTCGATTGAGCGCGATAAGAACTTAAAGAAAAAACAGGCAAACTGCCAGGAGAGCGGAAAGCGCGAGCGACCAAGTTGCGATGGGTTTTAGTTTTGAACCTAATTGGTTTAGAAAGTGTCGCGAGATTTCTTGACAAGTCACACAGCAACGTAAGGTAAAGCCATCCCGGACACTCAATTGAACAATAGATCTGCTGTCTAGATTGAATAAAATGTCTCTTGACTCACGTAACGCAGGTAGAAAGGAGAATTATGATTCAGGTGTTGAAAGTTAAGAAGGTTTTAACTTCTACTAAGATTGCTCTTTGTTTCGTTTTTCAGGTTGTGTACAACAAACCAACTGCACCAAAATTCAGCTTTGGTATACGACACAGTGATTACATGACTGTTCCCCTATTTGCACGTGATTAATACGCCAATCAAAGAAGTGACGTTATAATTACGAGTTCAGTAAAAATGTACAGAATATTTACCGAAATACTGCATGAGAGTTATGTTTCATTGACTTATAATGCTATTTCTAAGAGAGGGAAACATCTTCCATATCGGAAGTTCAAATGCCTTTTACTGAGTTGACAGATCCTTTCCAGCAGAATTTCTTATAAAGTCTGTCGCCAGAAAATTAAAGCACCAGTGATCATTGATATACGCAATTTGTAAAATATCTTGTCAAAAGTTTTGAAGAAAATAAAAACGGATAGAGTGATTGTGAAAATGGCCATCATGAAGCTGTGGACGATGCCAACTGCAAATAAAAATACTCCATAAAAGTAAATCATTCCGCCACTCAACCGATGCCTTTGACTTTGCAAACGTCGACGACAGACGTTTACCGCTAACTTGCGTTATCCACCCTGACTGTTTGGATGTGTACGAAATAAATTCATTTCCGTCAACATCTCGAAAAAGTATCTGACTATTGCCTAAAATAACCAGGTTATTTTCGTCCACATCTCGAAAAAGTCTCTGGCTATTGCCTTAATAACCACGTTATTTTCGTCGTTTTCTCTTCTTCTTCTTCTTTGAATGCCCGCTGCTCATCGAGGCACCAAGGCTCAAAGCTGCCATGGCTTCAGCCGCTGTCTCGTCTTCCATGGGCTCAGGGCTTACTTCCTCCACTGATTCCACAGGTTCTGGAACCTGAAAAGAAATGAACGAATTTACATCCACAAGTACAATGATCCGGGAGGAAAGGAAAAAACCAAAGTTCATACCTCGGGCGCAGGCTCTACAGCTTCTGCCCCTGGTGCTTTGTTAGTTGTGGGTACCAGTCTCTGTCTTGATGCAAACTGCCGACGAACTACGACACAATCAGACTCGTTCAAGCGAGATTATGCACAGAGCAAATAAAGGAAAATACTTTACAAACTTAAAAGTGCAATGCCTTGATTAAGTTTTCAGCTTCGACACTGATCAGCTTTTGAAGCAATAATGAATAAAAAAAGTACATAAATTATACATGGGGTTGCCATAGCAAAAACAAATGACTGGCCCCTATCATAAATAATAATATACATTAAAAAAATACGCGCTTCTGATTGGCTTGAACGAGTGCATTCTCATAAACGCGAGTGAAAAATTACAAATGGCGCGCTTACGCTTTCAAAACTTCGTCTGTCTTGACTTTCGGTGACATCCTTTTTCGTGTATATTACTAACAGGTAAGAACATGATTTCTCTGCAGTTTGGGGTAATAAGCTCTTGTTAATTTTTCACAGACTACAAATTGCACTTGCCCAACGGGTTCGTGCAATTTTGTTGTCTTTGAAAAATTTACTCGTGCCAATTAACACCAAATTTCACTCGAAGTCATATTCTTACCTATACAAAAAACTCTTGAAACTCGTCATCTTGGTGTCAAAAGTGCAAAAATAGAAGAGTTTTTCTTATGACAAAAGCGATGCTCATCAGAGGTGACTACGCTGCAACACGTTTAGTGTCAGCACACAAGTAGATATCGTGAGCTGCAGCTGAGGCCTTTTTGGTCTTGATATAATGGTCATGTTTAAAAGGACGGAGGAAATAATAATAATTTAATTAAATAAATGCCCTTCCACTGTTAGCTTTCGGCCTTCTTCGCACTGTTCACTTAAATAAGTATTCAGATGAAAAGGTTCAGCTAAATTGAAAATTGTTTAAATGGCAGGACGCAGTTTTGTAAAACAACGGCTAAACTTTGTTTAAATAACCGGCCCTTTAAGACTGTCCAAGAGATCGTTTGACTGGCTAAATATAAGTTAGATTATAATGTAAGTAATAAGCGCCCGGGAACCACAATTGCTAATGAATAAACTCGAGTAACACTTGTATAAAACAGCAAATGATAGATAATTACCTAGGTTGCTCTCAGTAAAATCAACAACTCTTAAACCTTGTTTCTCGCCACCAAAACTGAAGACAAATGGGGAGTCAGGACAACATTGGGTATGAAGAATTCCTCCCTGAAAAAAATGAAAGAAGTCTTACCCTAGAAGTAGTTTTCAGACTATCAGTTAAACTTCAATACTACGGAATGAATAATCTTTAGATCTACAACTTTACTTACAATTTGAAGATTTCTGGAAGCCACAAATGATGGTTTGTTATCCTAAAAAATATTGGGAAATATAGAGAAAGACGAAGTAAAAAAAAAGTATTGAAAGACAGGGATGACTCATTGTGAATGACAGAAAGCGACATTTCAAGTAAAACGCTTGACCAACACCTTGACCTAACATCTTTCACTGTTACTTTAGTATGGGCGAAGCATTTAGATACAGCTGTTTCGAGCAAGGTTGTCGGAAAAAAGCATAAAGATGCACGAGAAAACCCAAAAGGTAATGTGAGTAGTTTTCAGGTCACGGATTTCCTTGACCTCAGGATTTTAGAGAAATCTGAGAAAACGTAAGGACGTCGGGACAAGGCATCGCGAGTTTGATAAATTTATTAATTTATTTCACTTACTAGAATTCACTGATTATCGGGTAACCAAATTATCTTTCGAGATTGTTGCGTTCGCTTTTGCCCTTTTTTTTTTGAAACAGCTGGATACCTTTTTTGTGTTCGCATGACTTTGTATTCCAAAAACGTTTCATTTTTGATCAATAATTACTTTAGTTAGTTCCTTTGATTGTTATTTATTGCCAAGCGTCCTTCAAATGAACTTTTGGCTCTGAGGTAACTAATGGGGATAAAATATTGCGATCTACAATTGCAAGCAAATCTAAATCGCGAAACAAACCAATTAACTCTCACTTATCACCCGACCTGTATGTCCCAGACTTTGACAGTCTCATCAGCTGACGCAGTGACAAGACATCCGGGTACCTGGCTGCTTAGTGCGAGACCTTGAAACGCAATGAGAAAGAATATAAATTGCTCAAATGAGTGACTTTGCATGTAGAGTTTGTTCAAATACAGCACATATCAATTGGGCGTAGTAAAACTAACAAATGATTTGAAAAACATCTCAAGGAGCCAATGAAAAGTCAAGTAACACCCCACGGTACCAGGACTGGGACTGAGGACCAGTCATTAATTATTGCCTGGGGAGGGGATGGGGAGGGGATCGGAGGATTCATTTTGGGGGGAGGAACACATGATTTTCAAGGGAACGGAGGGAGAATCAGTCGTCGCTAACAGAGTATAAAGGGAACTGTAGTAAATTGACTGCCAAAGAGGGGGGATCGTTTCAATACTACAAAGCCTTAGGGGTGGTTTGGTAAATTTTATTGTGACAAAACCAAAATCCAACGATCCCCTCGGGGAGGGAGGGAGGGGGGAGGAATAATGACCAGTCCTCTAGTTTTGTCTTTGATTTTGACAACAAACATCAAAGTTTGCTATCAAAGTAGTTAAACAAGTCTACAGACCCTGACCGCTAAAAGCGCAAAACAGGAAAACTGCTTTTGTTTTCAACAAAAAGGCCTCGAAATTGCTACAGGATAACATCTCTCATCGCGTCATAGTAATTTTACAGAACCATGAGAACTTCACCTGGTATCGCATTATCATGCGCTTTGAGAGTAAACACTGGGCCATCCGCCCTGACGTCACAGCAAAACACGTGACCGTCTTCCGTGCTGATCTGTACAAACACCATGATACCGATTAAGTAGAACAAGGAAATTGTGGAAATTGTTTAGACTGTTCTGTTAGTCTGAGCGCAATAGTATCTCAGAGAAAAAGAAGGCGGGAGGACAAGGCGGCTTCTACGTAACACATTCCCAAACCTCGCCTTTGTTTGCTTTGTGCTACCAAGTCGCTCTGTCTAGTAACTGAAAGTCTGGAAAAATTTACAGCTAGCTCGTACTACTCGAGAACACGACAACAACCTCAGAACAGAACGCAATGCTAAAGAAGCAACTCTTAAAGTACTCATTATTTGCGCTATCAGTTTCAGTCTTGAGAATATGGCGTGAAAAATCACACGGGATAAGGAAAACTAGGTTATGATTTAAGTAGTGCAGCTCACAAAGAACCCTTTGGTATGATACAATATCTACGAAATTGTAAGGTTACTTACTAAAAAATTGTACGGTGAGAAATGATTCCACAGAACTCTTTCCACCTCCGCACCAAATTTCCAAGATTTAATGTTACTCTGGGAAAAGAAATAGTTTCTTAATATTAGGAGAAAACCTTCCGTAAGTTGCAAAGTTTGGTTTATTTTAAACAAATGGCTCTAAGAAAAAGTCCTTCCTTTTGCTATGAAGATCGTCTTTCTGAGTTATCCAAGCTGTACTTCCGCCACAGATTCTTTCGAAAAGGTGAATGACAGGAGTTGTCAACAACACCAATGAAACTATACCAACTGTAGGTCTATGGCAGAACTTACCTCAGGACTTCTGCAGTCAACCACTTTGGCCTTTCTGTGAACACAAGAGCACCAAATAATTTATTTACCAACATGAAAGCCTCTCTGGTAATTGATAAATTGTACTAAAAGTAATGTACATTATCTCTCATGTACAATCACTATTTTGGCTTCCTCTCAGCTACTTATTCCAGAAGAAACTGTGCAACATAACAATGACATGACAGACATACACACTAGTACTAGAAAACGTGCTAACTGGTACATACACCAGAGGAAATCACGACTCATCCCCACTCTTTAAATTCAATCCTTTAAAACTCTGAACGTTCCATGAGATAATACTCACTTATCAAAGGAACCTGTAAGTAATGATTGTGATTCATATGGATGCCACTGTAATGACTGCACCTACATGTACAACAAAATTGTCACATGTTATTGTAACACATTTGAATGGAAGAGTTTTCAGCAACATATTGGTTTAGGAGGTGACTGCAAAAGAATTGAAGCCTATATACATAAACATGTGTGCAAGGCAGCAAATCAGTGAAAGAGGTGAATGCAAATAAATAACACCATGCAAAAATGTTTCAATTTTCTTCCTCTACAAACCAAAATTCCATATTCTGACTAATTTTCATTCTATAACTATTTCCTGGCAATCCTCCATGTTACTTGAATAAACAAATGTATAGACACCAAGAAATCAACGTTCACACTAACTCAAAACTATCCAGTGATTGTCCCAAACTATTTTCAAGCAAAGTCAAATATTTTTTCACAGCAAAGTCAATTGACCAGCAACTACATTTCATGTAAAATCCACAAATTAAAAAATCTGATCACCACTTTAACTGATATTCTCCTCATCAATAGTCCACTCTGGTTTGTACAGTAATTTACAACAAGAAAACACCTAACCTTGTCTTTGTGATGTTTCAATGCGTGGACAGGTTTTGGCTGGGAAAGGTCCCACAAAATAGCAGAGTGATCAGCCGAGGCACTGGCCAAAACATTCCTACAGCATTCAAGTTGAAAATCACATTTTTAGAAATAGCTTTCACAACAAAAGCATCAAGTTTAATTTCTGTTGTGTATACCTTACAAGATGATTCCAAGATAAGTCAAGAACTGCATCAGAGTGTCCTTCCTCCGAATTTCTTGATTTCTAGTATAAAGTGGACAGACATATTTTGTCACATGCACTAAGCATTTTACCCTGAATTGGTCAGTGGCTCTTCTCATAATGTTGCTGGACTGTTCGCACTCTGTTTTCTTGCAAGATTTGCATTGAACAAGTACAATGCAACAATGCCCCTTTAGGAAGAGACTAAATCCTTGCAAATTTTGAGTACAAATTAGACTCAGTTTCTCTCAATACAGTTGCTAAGAAGTTCAAGCAGTTAAGAAAGCTTAATACAAACATTTTAATGTAACAAGAAAACCAAACTCTATGAAATGTCTCTACAACAAGTTTACAAAAAAAATAAAATAAAATAAACCTAGTCCATAAATTCAAGATTAATAAACATTTCAAAACTTCCATAGATGGTTTTGATTATTCCTGTTGGTGATTGCCTGCTAACATCACTTCATTATGTTTTGATTCTAATAATCAATAATCAGCTCTAGACAATGACTCCTGACCTTCTTTGACTTTTTCCGTTTTCTCCTTCCCAGTGAAACCACAGGTTCCATGGTATCAACCAGGTCAATATCCCAGATATCTATATAAGGTTCCATTGTTCCGACAGCAACAAAGTTTGCTACAGGAGGACAACACTGATTAGTGGGTTGAAGCTTAATTAATAGGTTTCCTGACAACAACTTGCAAACAGCAATTATGAACTTTACCTTCATCCACTTTTCCTTTGAGCCTTAAATCAACCCCATAGGAAAAGGGCAATGAACTTTTATTTACAGATAAACTCACAAAAAAAAAATTTGTCAAAAAATGGCTGAAAGCTGATGATGAGAGATTCAATTTTTGCAGTTCACTGTAATTTTCATGTTTTATCTCTTAATTAATTATATGAGATTATAAAAACAAACAACCACTTACATATGGGTAAACTGTAGTTCACTGATCATTTTAGAATTTAGACAACGCCTCTTTTCTAAAGCTTAGCGCATTCTCTACATTTTTTTTTTCGAGAAAGCAAGTAATGATGCATGTCTAGTAAAGTCAAAGAAGTTGAAACTTCTCAGAAAAATCAGTGAACATACAGTACCATTCAAAAACAGTTGACAGTCTTGACTCAAAAATCAATCCTCAATACTCAAAATTATCGAGCATTGAGGACCAAGGATCAAGAACCCAGGCTGGAGTATTGAGTAACAAGAATTGAAGATCAAGAATTGAGGATCAAGTTGCTTCAAGACCTTTTTGAGGATCTTGAAATATTGTACTTTTGAGAAAACAATTTCTTTCGCATGCCTTCATGACACATGTACCTGGCTTGTTGGTATCTTCAGGATCATAGTCCAACCATTCAATAGTGAGAGGAAATGCCTCAAGTATAATATCATGATGAACATACTGACTTCCCTCCTCCTCATTAAAAACTGGGAGAAAACACAAACCCAAATTAAAAACACTTTTAAAGGATGAATATAGATGACATTGAATGGAATTGATGTATGAACAAATAAACAATTATTGCAAAAATATACAAATGAATGCTAAAAATAATATTATAACAGACCAAGAAATGAAGTTGAAAGAAAAAAAAATCAAAGGAAATATGAATTTCTAAGTAAAAAAATAGACTGATTTGGTTAAATAAATTATTATTTTAAAATGTAAAGGAGAAAAAAACAGACAAAAGTTAGAAGAAACACAAGGAAACCTTTTTGCAGTTACAGTTATCACCTGAAATCTCTAGAGAACTTAAGTCTTCATCCACATGCCCAGCAACTAATAAATTGTCATCTGGTTTAATATTAAAATCTTCCTCTTCATCTTCATCCCGATCCTTTGAATGTAACAAAGATAAAGTTATTAAAAACCTTGATGAAGAAAAAAAAAATTGATGAAAATACTGATTACATACCTACCCCAGGCCTTACAAAATTTGTGTTGTCAATTAACCACCACTACTGAGATGGTTAAGAACAAGTGATGCTACTAACACAACTACAGAAATATCAACAGATCAACTTTGTCAACTTTAATCACAAGATCATTTCATTCAGTTCAAAATATGAACTGCAAAGGTTTAAAAATCAATGTCATAAACTCAAGCAGAATTTAATACAAGTTCCTTACTTATATTGCATTTCCTGATTTGGATACTCAATGCCTTAATTCATTTAATCTCCTCAAATAAGTTTAAAACAAATGTAATTGTATCTTTGGTGATACTGTATGATTTGCCTAAAACTGTTTTTTAGTATGTTATATCCCAACTGTTATTACCTGTTTTTTAGGTGAACAAGCAAATGTTTGGCAAGTAAAAGCAACTAAAGTTAGGTGTGAATTGATATAGTACTAGTAACCACCACCTACAAATGGACTTATCTCCCACCATGCCTGGGTTTTTACATACAATTTGCCAATTGAGCCTCTGTCTCCATGTTTACTTCAAACACTATTACGAAAACTGTGTAATAAATGAGTGCTCATAACTGGAGAAACTAATTTAATAAATGTCTTAACCAGTTATAGAATTTTGACTCACTGGATCTGCCAGAGTAATATAGGGATCATCCTTGTTTGAAGCAAAGTATGTTACACCAGCCATTCCTGCCCCAGACATTAACTCCCCTAAGAAAAAACAAAGCATTCAGCTGATATAAATGTCAGTTCATGTTACAATCAGGTAGCTTATTGAGACTAAATCTAAAAATCATAGTACGATTCTCCTGAAATACTAAAAAAAGGCTCTCATGAGGCAAAGCAAGAATTTCTATATCAATTACCTTCCACATCTTCATCACTGTCATAATGTGCTAGATCATACAAGTCTGAAATTTCTTCATCCTCATCATTCTCATCATCCTTATCGTCATCTCTGCTTTTCTTTGTTTTGTGCTTTGCCTTGCTGACCTCCTCATCCTGTTTCCCATCACCACCTTCTGTTCCATTCTCTTCTTCTTCTTTTTCTCTGAGGATAGAAAAGTTCAGGTTGAAAAATTAAAAATGGGAAGCACTCAAGATCAATAATTGAAATTAACAATAACTTAAGAGATGCAGTGATATCAAAGGTATATTTTGTGACAATGCCTCAGTTTACTATTTTAATTGTTGGTGATTATGGCTGATGAAGGGAGAGGCAAAAAGTGTAGGTCTTTAAATATCCTTTAAAGATTGTACTAGAAGTACCTCAACTTTTCTTTAGCTTCATCTATGATCTCCTGAATTTCTTCTTTAGACAAGGCAACCTGACAAACAAAAATAATAGATGTTAAACTTTCAATGCAGCACATATTGTAGAAGTCCGTCAATTATAAATAAATGAATCACTGATTTCTCCTACTCAGAGTCAGAAAGCAAATGCAAAGTCATGTTTGATGTTGGTATTAAGTTATTTAGTCATATATACATAAATCACACATAAGAATGACTGTTTATAAATAAAGGGTAACAGTAAAGAGCAAAGTTGATGTGTGAAGAAAGACTGATTTTAATGATAAGATTTCCTTACAATGGTTTTACATAACCTAATAACCAATAAATGCTTGGCTCCCAGTGAAAAAAAGAGCTGTTCCCCATGGATAAAGCTTCTGGAGGCATGGAGATGTGAGGGAAAAAAAACTATTTTCCATCGGACTAGGAATCAAGTGCTTTGTGATACCCCTTGACTCAAAGAGAACAGAGGGGTAAGTTTCTAAAGAAACTGTGGTGCTGCATTGGTAGGATAGTGTAACAAGGTAATTTAGTATTATCAACTGAGTTGATAACCTAAATTGGCCACCATAAAGAGTTAAAAGCTGACATTTTGCGTGTTAGCCCTTCATAGGAACGATTGGAGGAACTGTGGGTTGTGTGTGTGTTTCGATGCAGAAAATGGAGGAACACTATTAGTTAAAAAGTTATACTTTCGTGAAACAGGAAGACTATTGGGTGACCGATTCCAAAAACACCCTTGTGACATTGAGAGAGACGACAAAAATGCATCCAAACCAATCACTAGATAGTGTTTAATCTACCAAACCAATCTAAGTAGCATATGGCAGCTTGCAGCCTTTACCTACATCTAGGCAGTTCAAAACACCTCAAAACTCCAGAACAAAAATTTATCTTTCAAATTGGTACACTTAATCCCTGAGGTATCAACAAATGCTTTTCATTTGATTAATTTATTCTTGTTTTCTCGTCACCATATTCCCACCAATAACTACTCTTTACCATGGCCAACTTACGTTATGAATTCATTTGATAAAAATAAATTATCCCATCAAAAAGAGAACACTAACTGCATGAAAAAAAATTCTTGACGAGGGCTAGCACGTAAATTTGCCGTGGTTTCAAGGTACTCGACCTCATCACAAGAGAATCAAAACTTAAAACTGCTGTTCCTTAAGGATGTAGTGAGTTCAGATCTATGGCCCATGAACCGTTTTCCTCTTATTGGAAAACATATTGAAGTTGGGAGGTAAATAAAACTAACTTAATTACCTGTAAATGAACAGTTGAGCATCGACTGTAAAAAAGTTGACCAAATTCTACCGTTTGTGAATAGGAAAACCGAGTGGGTGCATATCCAGCAATGCAAACCAGGGTAAAAAAACAATAATTAGATTCTCGTTAAAGTGATTCACCAACAAGAATGACCACAACCTTTTCCACAACGTGTCCAGCTATTATCACTTGGCAAATGAAGATAAATTGGGGATGCCTACCTTATCAGGGACTGCTTTCGCAACTCCTCTCCTGATCCAGCCAACACAAGTTATCATTTTTTAGATCAACTTAGAATTTTCTGTAATCAAAGCATATTTAAAAATATTCCTCGCTGATCTTCAATGATAACATCGTGTTTGAACTGTTTCTTGCAAGGCCTCACATGCTGATGAACGCGAACGATTGGGTACTAATAGATATCACTGCTGACCAAAATGATCATTGAAGACGAATGATCATTGATTGGCGGGGGTTGGGAGGGTAAGAGAGTGGTAAACTAAGAAATTACCTCATTTTGAAAAGATTTAGACAGAAACTGTCTCTGTAAGGAAATAAATATGATTCTGATCTATGTGTTCTGAACTTATGGAGGAAATCGTACTTTTTCATTTGTATCTAAGTCTTAGCATTCCCACTCTTGTGGCGATTCGATCTGGGCTAAGGAAATTTTGTCCTTCCGTGAATGAGGAAATATCTACATCTCAACAATAGAAAAGCAGCTTTTTCATTATGTTATGCTTACTTTTGTTTCGTCACCAGCTTTGATCTCTTTTCAGTATGTTTCTGATCTCATTAATCTAACAGAATTCATAGCGTGACTTTTTCGACCACACCTCCCCTCAATATTCCCAAACACTGAGCGTGACCCGAAGTCATCTCCAACAGCCTTCCAAAATTGGATATTCCCTTGAAAACTCTGTATTTCTTTCCAAGGAGAATGGAGACCGTTTCAGGGATACCTCTGGTCGACTTTTCTGCCATGAGCGTTGAACACGAAATGGTATCATCATATTCAGATGACCAAGTGCAAGAGATAGCGAGGCAGATCCACCAAGCTTTCAGCACTGTTGGATTTGTTTACCTAAAAAATCATGGAATCTCGCAAAACACGGTGAGGAAGCACTTCTTAAGGGTTCAATTTTTGCAGAAATGTGATTTTCCCGAAAAATTTTACAGGAAATGATAATGATAACACAAATCTGGAGAAAAAATATTAAAAGACTAGCACAAGACACATACGGTCCCGGTTCTGCTCTACCAATACAGATAATTTGTGAGAAAGCATATTGATGTTGATAAAGCCTCTTGCCTCCGCAGCCAAAGAATTACACTGATGCTGAATAATGAAGACGTGTTTACCTGAATTATCGTTTAATCTTGGGCCCATTTTTGCACCACAAACTGCAGCTGTTCATGAAATCCTTGTATGTGTTTTCCTAATACAGGTCGATGGAACGTTCGCTGTCATGGACAAATTTTTTACACTTAGTAAAAACCTCAAAAACAAGTATGGAAAGAAGGGCGAGTTGGACTCAAATGGATGGGAAGCTTTGGGAAGAGAAATGTTAGTAAAAATGTTTTATATGACGCGGAGATCATCAAATTAGCACCTGTTATGCAGCTAGAGCCAGTTCTCAATCCTTGAGAAGGGGCATGGGGTAGGGAAGGGACGCCGAGACTGAAATCTATTTAAGAGGTATTGTTTATTTTGATGCACATTGAGATAAAAATTTTGATAACCATACAGAAGGCGAACTACGGAAACTATACAGAACATAAACAGCACTTAACTGATTAAATCACCAAAAGAAAAAACACACACATACACAATCCAAATTTGAGGGATCAGGAACAAAGATCAGCTACTAATAAATCCTATCTAATCTAGATACACTTTGTGTCAATTTCTTAGGAATCTAACCTCTATATTGATTGCAAAATAATAGTGTTAATTAGATTAGTGATACAGCACTTATCAGTTATATATTTGATTATAAATTCAATTTGATACATTTTTATGCAATTCTAATCAATATCTGCCTGCTTCTTGCCAGCACTGACCCAACAAAGCCAGGTGACCTGAAAGAATCTTTCGATATCAGTGCTTTTGACGACAAGAGATTTGTAAGTGCAACCCTTTGATAATTAATTTGTACAGATTAAACCAAACAATATCAATAAAATCAGGTCTCCTGGAAATTCATTAAAACAATCATAATTTCAGGTCATTACAATTTTTCACTTTTTCTATCATTTTAATAAAAAAATTATATTTGAGATATAAATCAAACAAAATTTATGTTTTTAATTTTTTCCTGTTACAGCGTTGGCCAACAGAAGTTCCAGAGCTCCAATCAGCAGTTAAAAGCCTCTTTGATCTTCTTAGTCGTCTTGGAGATAGGGTGCTAAGTGCAATGGCTATTGGCCTTGGTTTGGTAAGCACTTGTACAGTCAAATGATTTTTTTATATTAGATTTAATTATCAGAAACATAATGGTATGCTTTTGATTTCACCAAAGAAATTAATGAATTAAAAGGGTATAACTCTCTTCCATGCTGAGACCAAAACAACAAGGTATAACAGACACCCAGTCATGAGACTGAGAAATGATAACAAAATAACTTGTTCATGATCCCCAACTTTAAAGCTGTTTGCAAGGAAAGTTCATTGTGTACACTTGTACTGGTGTTAATTGTACTGAGTTCAAAAGAGGAAACGATCATTTCTTCTTCCATAGAGTATGCTTGGTTCAAAACTATTTTGGGTTGTTCCACCAAAACAAAATTGACAAAAGAAAGATATAGCTTTAATCTTACTGCCCACTTGAGTTATCATACTTCTCTAAAAAATTTCTGACCAAATTCCATGAAAATAGCCCGCAGATGTCTTTAAGAGTTACTACAAAGATGTTGGAACACGCAATGGAACAGCTCTTCTGCGCTTCAATTATTACCCAAGAATAACTGACATTAAACACATAAAGCCTGGTCAAATACGATGTGGAGAGCACACCGACTATGGTGGAATAACTCTCCTTTTCCAGGATGATGCAGGAGGACTGGAGGTTAAGTATTTATAAATGCCTCAGTTTGTTTTTAAATTTGTTATTTGAATATGAGAATACAACTTGTGGAACTTTCAATTTTGTCATTGTTAGAGGTACTTCTCACTGTTGTTGTATTTCAACCAATCAATAGGTTGTCAACAGAGAGAAGAAGTTTGTCCCTGCAACTCCAATTCAGGGTACAATACTTGTAAACATTGCAGACTTGATGCAAAGATGGACTGCAGATAAATTTGTGTCAACGGTAATAGACTAATGTATATAGTGAAGTTTTGTCCCACATGGGACCATTGTGCCCTAGTGGGAAAGAATGTTCAAGGTGCACTCGGAAGTTTTTGTAAAGGGGTTAAATCTAAAGCTTCTGAAAAGCATATCTCCTAATCATGAGACTTGACTCTTCCTCCCTCTTATTATCAGTATAGAATTCAGATCATCACGTCATCTTGTATACAAAATGTAGTTCTTATAACCTACCATAGGTTAGTACTAATTTGATTCACAGGCATTGGTGAGGCTAACTGTTATTTAGAGTAACACTGAAAAGTATCTGAACCCAAAGAGTTCACCCCTCCAAACTGGGCTAGTCTCCTGATTAAAATTGTCTACAATCCCCCCTCAATTTTACAGGTTCACAGAGTCATAATTCCAGAGGAGGAGCTCAAGCGAAGCACCCCTAGACGTTCTGTTGCATTCTTTTATGATCCTGACTGGAACGCTAAGATTACTTGCTTGGATGGTTCAAACAAATATCCACCAATCAAATGTAGCAAATACGTCTCGCAAGTCATGACAGGCACTTTCAGCTTCTAATCATTTTAAGAGAACATTTTGTAATTGTAATTGACAAGTAAAGGTATAACTAGGAAACACATGTTTTTAAGTTGGCACTAAGTAGGAATTAAAAGACTCGCCACCTTTCAAATTATAGCTACAAACAGGCCAGTCAAAAAATATCGTAAATCAGTGAGAGTAGATTATTTAAGTTTCCAATGAACTCCTTCACACAACTATATAGAATCAACATTAATTAGGAGGAGAATATTAGGGGGGTTCTGAACACCACAATTCCACAAAAAAAATTGGCAAATACTACAATATTGCAAAAAAATCATCAAATACCACAATACTTTAAGAACAAGTTGAACCTCCATGTCATGCAAAAACCATTACTCTATATGTTACATTTAGAGCAAATAACACAGAAATAACAATTAAGAATTTGTTAATGATTGTTATGTCTGGTAATTGTTAATTTCAGCCCATTTCCAAAACAGTTGGAAAATGGAAAAGGTACAGAAAACAGTTGATACTATTGTACACATTGCTGAAAAACCACATCCCACAGTATAGAGGATACTGCAATTCAAGACTAAAAAATTACAGAAATACCACAGGAAAAATTGTCTAATACTGCAATACTGCAAACCCCAGTGTCCCCTTCAGTTAGTGAACATTATAATACTCTTCTTGAAAGTCAAACCATCCACTGTGTATATTAGATAAAATTTGACTTAAAACATCTTGGTCCTTCAACTTTACTCAAATCCTAATTAGCTATGTGAACTTTCCTGTAATCATATTATAGCTAACAACAAATGTATTTATTAGAAGTTACCAATTCAAAATGTACTATATTTAAACTGAAACTTCTGAATAAAAGCAATAGTACATGTATAAATACCAACAATTGTATTCTGAGCAAAAAACCAATTCAAAACAAAAACTACATTATACAACAAAGTGAGTATTTCCAACTCTATAACAGGTGGCATGGATGAACCAGAGAAGAGAAGGCTGCGTTAAGGATGCAACATAAGAATTTCATAATTTTGCAATAAGGTAACAAGAGAGGAAATTTGATTGGTTAAATCCCGCAGGATTCCTACAGCCCCCTACTAGTTTTCCTGAAAATTACCATTGAGTGCATAACCCTCTATCATTACATTGTATTCCATCACCAATAAATCTAACCTTGAATATGATAGCAATCTAATGAACACTACTTAAGCAGCAGTGATAAAAAAACCTCAAAAATTCAGGCTTGTAAAGTATTTGAACCCACTGACCTCTGTGATAGCAGTGCAGTACTCTGTCAATTGAGCTAAAACACAGACTGAGAGATGGTCATTTTATTGGTTTATAATAAACCTGTGGAGTGATTAATAAATGACAGTGAATATAGGAAAATCATATATGTGAACTGCTGATTGCAACATAAATATCAGAGTGATCTTTGCAGTAACCCTACAAATATGCATATATATAAAACATGTTATTGAAACAAACTTCTTTTAATGAGGAGGTATTGTTATTAATCAACAACCTCTTATAAATGACAGTGAATATATGAAAGTCATATATGTGAACTGCTGATTGCGACACGAATATCAGAGTGATCTTTGCAGTAACCCTACAAATATGCATATATATAAAACATGTTATTGAAAACAAACTTCTTTTAATGAGGAAGTATTGTTACTAATCCACAAACTCTTATTTCAAATGTCCAAGTTCATGATGCTCTCCATTTGAGACAAATAAGCTCCATAAGGTGTGCCCAAATTTTTTTCCATTTGAGACAGGAAAAAAAATGGGTAACTCCCCTGTCTTCCTTAATCCCAATGACAAAGTAATTCACTTTTGAGTAATTCAATTTAACTCTCACACAAAAGGAAGTAACACAAATCCTGTATGCATAAGTCAAATAAGAGTTTAGTCTTCCTTACTGAAATGATGCTTTTCTTTCTTTTTCTCGGATTACAAACAAAACATCAAACAGGGAATTGCATGATCCTGAGTTAATATACCTAGAAAATTACCAAACCAAATTAATAATATTAACCCTTCCACTCACAAGATCTCAAAATCAGTTTTGCTCACTGCCATTCATTTACTTCTTACAATATCTACCCTGACAATTCAGTGTTATATAAAACATCTCCTGATAGCTTTCATTCTCCTCTTCACTTTTCTGATTGACAGTGCATTAATTTTGTAAGGAAACATTTCTTATTTGTCACTGTTTGGTGATAACAGGTTTAATCGCCTGAGTTTGTTATTCCAGTACAATTCCACACTTCTCTGGAAGTCCTACTTTTGGTTCACTCTTTATATTCCAAATACTTTGGTAGATGTTGCAGGATGCTTCCTCTAATCTTGGAAAGGACATGGATACTCCGAAAAATAATTGCAAGAGAGTAAAAAATTCATATTGATTCCATAACTTGTATCAAAAATTTCAGTATCAGTAGGTGTTGAACAAATTAACTCTCCAGATCTTCTTCATTAGCTGGTGCTAATAATGTTTCTTGGAACAACTTGACTCTTTAATGTTTTATGACATAATTTGCATCTCTTTGCCACCACACTAATGATTTATCCTTCTAAAGTTATCAGAGATAATTCTCTCAAGCAAAGAACATTTATTCATTCTACAGCATTACGGCATCCTTTTGTAACTTAGATCATCGCCACCTTAAAAATTATATTTAATTGAATAAACATCTGAATCATATTAAGTATGGAATAAAACTCCCGTGTCCACTGTAAACACAGTTTCAAACATAATGGTGGTTTTGCGGTTTCGTGTAAGCCATTGTCACTCCTGGGGTCTCTTAAATGGATTTTAGAGTGTCCAGGAGAAAAGTTCTGTTTCTTGAATCGTCGACGTAATTTTAATGTTTCAACACCATTATTAAAGTCTGCCGAAAACGTGCTCCATCGTAGCCATCATATTTCTCTCCATGTCCACAAACTGATCAAACACCGTGTCGAAGTCTTCAAAGCTCGTGAAAGCGAAAGGGTCGTATAAGTTTGGAACGCTGTTCCGTGTTTGCCTTTGAGATCCACGATCTTGTCTTCGACGCCTTTGTCTTCTATTACTTGAAGGGCTTTGGGAAAAAAGGTATTCGTTTCCGTATAAATTATCGGCAAATCTGTCGAAATCGGCAGATAAAGGATCATCGCTGGAAACATCCATTCCAAAGAAATCTGTATTCCTTCTTCTGTTTGACCTTCTTGAAGTGTTTCCTGTGTCAGAGTAGTCTTGAAAGCCACCAAAAGATTGGAAGACCATGTTGAAAATATCATGAAAAGAAGAAGAGCCGAAGAATTCCCTGAAGACTTCTTCCGGGCTGCGGAAGTTTTGCGAGGAATTGAACATGTCGAAGTCGAAGTCTGCGGCAAATTCACCCCCTCCGTTCGTTGGCCTGGCGGAAAGTCCTTCTTTGCCATATCTATCGTATATTTGGCGTTTATCCTTGTTAGAAAGAACTTCATATGCCTCAGAGACCAGCTTAAATTTCTCCTCGGCCTGTTCCTTGTTGTCGGGATTTTTGTCCGGATGCCATCGCAACGCCTGCTTTCGATAACCTTTCCTTATATCCTCTTCTGTTGCCGTTTTCGGGACTCCTAACACTTCATAGTAATCGTCGCACATTGTGGAAACCGAATAGGCGATAAGGATCAAACTCCGCAGGGCTTTTAAGAAACCAGTAGTTCAAAAATGGACTCATCAGCGCATATCGACTCAGAAGATATGCGCGTGAAGAACCTCGAGCAAACTGGGTAAACGTGAACAACTTAAACCGTGACGTCACAATTTTTCCATGTTTCTTGAATTCGCCCCACAATAATTTCGTTTTCGCGATAAAATTGGAAAAGTGTAAGTTATTTTTTCGAAATTATTATCGTTTTTCTAGTTGAGAAAAGGTATCTTTACCCGGAACATGATCATTATTGACGAAACCATTAGAAGTCCATGTCTCCATGTCCCCAACATCAACAACCTATGGCTTAGGGTCATGGAAAACATTTTAATTCAAACCTTCTTAGTATCAGCCGTGTGTCCATAAAGAATGCAATCCAGATAATTTTCATAATATAAATTTGTTATTTTCCATCAATTTCCTCTCCCACCCCTCCCAAACAATTGCAGCATCTCAAGGTACATTATTTTGCATCTATGGGAAACGATTCATCTAGAAGGATCCCGTCTGCTTCCTGAAAACCGTCGAATGGAAATCGTATCTGCAACCATATCTTCAGCTGATTTCAGTGGCATTTCTGGTCCATTAGAAGCTAATGAAACTTGTCAGACTTAGTTAGTGTTAGCGGTGACTCAACTGTGTATCTATGAACGTCCTTCGAGGACAAATCGATGGAAAACGGCAACAGAGAAGAACATGTTGATGGTCGCGGAGTCGAAGATGACTCCACTGACAGTGAGCTAGAAGAGTTAAACGCTTACGTACCTCTAGACATTCCTCCTCGAGATTTTTCAAGGCGTCTTGTAAGAAGCCACTCAGAACCGCAGAAGACCTCTACGAGAAACAGAATGGAACATTCGTTACGGAAAGGTGCCCACTCGCCTCCCATTATTCAGAAACAACGAAACAAAGTTGTCACTCAGATTTTACCAAGAAATGTTCAGGGTGGCGACGCCGCCGATAAAATTACGCTGGTAGTGGACGATACACGTTTTATCGTCGAAAGATCGCTATTTATTGCTCATCCAAACACCATGTTGGGAAGGTTGGTATACTTTCTTGTTGACATCCTTCCGTGTGTTTTCCATGTGTACAAGACGTGTGAGTTTCGAGATTCGTTGCCGGACTCAGCTTTGTAAATAAACTTTTCCCCCGTTTTTAGGCTATCGCGATTTTCGTTTCCTCTTCGAAATAAAGCGAACATAATTGTTCGAATATTCTTAAATGTTACTTTATTATAGTGTCGATTATGTCTTTCTGGTGGTTCACAGTAGAGAGAGCTTATATTTTTAAATGAGCTGATCTAAAATTAGATCAATCGAGTTGACTTTAAATATAATAAACGCTCTTCTTTCAAACACTAATGTTAGTGTTTGGAATGATAAATTCACCGGAAGTCTAGAAACTTATCTTCAATATTTCTATATTTGTGGGCAAATTTGTCTTTAAATTTAGGGTTATATACTCAGCTGGAGATTGTGAAGATTTATCTTGTACATTCACTTAACAGACTAGTATACTTGTTATAAAACTGGATAAGGAGGTTCTTTATAACAAGGCCCTTTTTCACGATATATAGGAATTTTTATATGTCTATTCAACACCTTTGGGCATCTTAATTGGCCAGCTTTGAGCTTTCTTTCTTTGAAGTTTCCCTAAAACAGGAGTTATGTTAAAGAGTGTCTGGTTTCTTTGCGACCCAAGTTATAAGGTAAAGGGACTCTGAGATTGCAATTGCAATACCACATAATATTGGCACCCAAGTGAGATAAAATACAGTTCCTCTCAATACAGCCAATATAGCGGAACACTTTTTTCTCAAAAATGCAATTGGATTAGTTTGTTTGCAGTACTAATCCAGCCATAACAAAGATATTAAATCTGTAAACAGTCAGCTTCTCTATGATTGGTAGTTCTTAATCATTGTTCATAGTGTCTTTTGCCTTGGATAACTGGAATTTTCTGCAATATAGTGGACAAAATATAGCCATGAAGTTCAAAATATTACATTACAATAGTTATTTCTGCTATTTTCTGTCAAAAAATTAGTCAAACATCACACTCCTCTCAAGCCTTGCCAATTTAATAAGAGAACACTGGGGAGTGGCATGTTTCATTTCTCTTAGGAGTGCCTTGATAAAATCTCTTGTATCTTAGGTTGTGGGAATCAGTCGTAGACAATATATCTGGCATTCTTATGATAAAAATCTCGTGCCTTTGGCTTTAAAAAAATGTTGGTATTGCATCATGACATCGTACTAAAATACTTGAAAGTCATGGACATTCACATGGATTTATTTTTACTTAAATGAATACATCTGTACTTTGCAGAATGTTTGGTTCAACAATGGAATACACAACCCGAAATGAAAAAGGGGAATATGAAGTTGCAAGAGGCATTTCTGCAAATGTCTTCAAGTGTATTCTGGTAAGATCTAATTTTTGCAGCATATGAAATTCGTCTGCGCAGTTAACATATGTGCAAGTTGTACTGTTAAATGTAAAGAGCAGATGATGATCTACATCAAGAAAGGGAATATGTATATTATGTCTACCAGCACCCTTTTATTTTGTCTGTGGCAAAGTTATAGGTAACAAATAAAAGTTTCAAAAGATTTTATATGAAATAGCCAAAACTATTTTTGAAGTTTCAGCTTGTTCAGGTGGTCATGGCTCTCAATTTATTTCCAAAGAATGCACTCTCAATCTCAAATATGGCTAATAAAAATCTCCAATTTTTTTAGCTCCTATTCAGCTTTTTGGAGGCTTGTGTGACATATCAAGGTTTAATATTCACTTCACTTCATTTCACTTCTATTTTTCATTTTCTTACATATTTACAAGATAATTCTTTGACCCTCAGATAGCAAATGCTAATCAAGGTGGGTCATATTTGGAAAATCAGGAGAAAGAGGGAAAATATTTTTAAAGAAATTAATGGCTTGAATTTATACCAAAACTTATCTCACTTTTCCCTAAGACCATAATTATACACAGCTAATAACAAGGAGCATGTTATTGAAAGCCAGATGCAAATCACCAAATTGGCAACTTTCATTGCAAGGTTTCTGGCAAACTGATTATGGTCGGATTGTAAGGTAAAATCAGTTTGACATTACATGTATGTCTTTGATATATTTTGAAAAATGTATTATAATGTATTACAGGATTACTACAAGACAGGTCTGATCAACTGTCCACCAAGTGTACAAATCCCAGAACTTCGTGAAGCATGTGATTATCTGCTTATACCATTTAATGCTCAAGTGGTCAGATGTCAGAATTTAAGTAAGTTGTTCTCAAACTACTTTCAAATTGCAACAATCAATTTTTTTTTGAGTGACCACCATTGAGAGCATAATTTAAAAAAAACTCACTTAAGGCACAGCATTATTCAAAAATTTTGTTCGAGGTCACCATCTTTGTACTTCAGATATTGGATTAAATAGGTCACAGTCATGATGGGTCTTTATCAATAATAAATAATATAATAAAGTTTGGGTATAATGCACGCTGTCATTCGTTGAAAGAGTATGCTCTATCCGAGTACAAAGCACAGAGTTGAGCTAAAGCTGTCATGCCATTTGTCAAATTGTACTACATCTGACCTATTCTGGACTCCTCTCTCGCTCTTGTTCCTTAATTGAAAGTGAAATTTCTGAAGAAGTAGGGAGAAACACTTGACTATGTCTCTTGTTCCTCCCTACACTTCTTTCATGCTTAAGCTGCTTCCTATGTTATTGACAACAGAACAGAGCACATTCACATTCACATTCTCTACTTGTTAATTATAATGATGATAATGATAAAATAAAAGTTTCTCTTGATGGCCCTTTATAAGGAGCAAGGGCCTTCTCCTTTGCAGCCTAGCACCTTTGAAATAGTCTACCCAGTGACATCACTGGCCTGGACTCTATATCTAGTGTCAAGCTTAATCTAAAAGCTCACCTTTTCAGCCAAGCTTTGAGTCTAATGATTTAGTGTCTTTATCTTCTTATTGGAATTAAATATTTATCAATTTTAACTTTATATTAATTTTAATTAGCTGGCATTATTATCATAAATGTTTATTATCTGTGACGCACATTTCATAATACATTTCTGTAATTTGCAATTAATGAATTCCTCTTTTTATTTATGTAAGAGTTATTATTATTATTATTATTGTTATGCTGTATTATACATCATATTAGCCTGCATGTTGATGTGAATATGAGTCTACATACACTTGACAAATGTCAGTTACTTCCAGTTACAGTGTATTCTCCTAGTACCTGTGGTATGAAATGACAAGGAGAATTACTAAAAAATTACCAAACAGGATACAAATACACCAAAATGATTCTTGAGTTTTCATGACAGTTTGCTCCAACTACTTTACATCCCATTCAGAAGAAAGGCACTGTGATGGTGTTGTACCTAAAAGTCACAACTCAGTGACCTCAGGCTCAAGCTGGAACCATTTTATCTAGAGTTAAGTGCTCTAGGCAGACACTTAAGCTGGTTTGTCACCCATATGCAATTATAACTGAAAGTTAAATACAGTTAAAATAATTTTTCTTGCAGGGGATCTTCTTCATGAACTGTCAAATGATGGTGCTAAAAACCAGTTTCAATATTTTGTGGAGGAGTACATTCTACCTGTTATGGTTTCTTCTGCAAAGGTAAAATAACTCACTAACTTAAATATTGGTTCTGATAGGATATCACCTAAAGCACTATATATTCATTCAGTAGGAATGAAGAAACAATGCAAATAAAAGCTTAGAAGTAAGAGTCAGTTTTGCAAGTTTGGTTCTGGTAAACTGCTTTTGTGAATTATTTTACTTCAGTTGTAGCATGAACAAGGTACATGTATTGAGCATGTTTTGTCTCCTGAAAATGAAATAAATTACATGTAATACTTTTGATTTTGGAATGAACTCATTGATCATCAATGACAGTTGTTTCATTAAAGTAGCTTACCCTGTAAAGTGATAAAGCTTGAACAGTTGGGCATGTGATGCAAGCTTAGGTGACTACTCTCCAGGTATACTTATTGTGCTCACAAGACTTTGTCTGACACATTTCTATTATAAATTTATAAATTTCTTTACAGAAAGGTGACCGTGAATGTCATATAGTGATCCTTACTGATGACGATGTGGTGGATTGGGATGAAGAGTATCCCCCCAGTATGGGAGAGGAATACACTCACAGTAAGAAATAACTAAATTAAAATTTCTTTGGACTCATGCTTGACTCCAGGTTGTCTATAGACTATGTATCTGTAACTTTTGTCTTAAGGTTGTCTGGTATTAATTTTTTTTTAATGAAAAACAAAATTAAATCACACAATTCTGAGACTAGGATTCTCCATGACTGTATTTCAATGCACATGCTCATACTGCAGCAATCAGTGATGGTTAAATCAGGAACAGTGTTGAATCTGATTGAACAAACCAGTGAACCATTTTCAGGCTAAAATGACCTTGAGGCTAAGTCATTAAGTGTCAACAGAAACATAGTGCACTCAAGGTCATGTATTCCATTCTTATTACAAGGTGTTACAGAGTACTTAAAATGGAATTGAATGAACTAAGTTAGATTTTTGCAGAATTAGAAAAACCTGTCATAATGCAAGTAGTGTACTAGCTGCCATTGATTATTTACATATTGCCATTTTATTTGTGACTTAGTTGTGTATTCAACATCTCTGTACCGATTCTTCAAGTACTTTGAAAACCGTGATGTGGCCAAAGAAGTACTGAAGGAAAGAGGCCTCAAGAAAATCAGGCTTGGAATAGAAGGTTCTTGTTTATAAACTATTAATACACTTAGGGGCAAAAATGTTCATTACACCCTGCTAAATCATAGTCACTGTGTAGAAGGCACTGACTGGTATATAGATGGTTTCTCTTGAAAAAAAGGGAATCCAGCCATTTGGAGTCAATTTCTTTGAGAGTATTCATACACTTATTTCGGAACCACTGCACTTGCAATTCTGATGACACAAAAAAAATTCACTTGCATCTCATGAATATAAGTCATTATTTAACTTTTGAGGAACATATAATGAATATCTCACAATATCTTGCTGCCCTTTATTTCTGCAGGTTATCCCACTCACAAGGAGAAAATCAAACAGAGGCCAAACGGAGGGAGGCCTGAAGGTAAAATTGATTTGCTTTGTACAACAGGCAATGAGATTGATCACATTTGTTGTTGTTGATAGTAATATTTTCATTCCAAGCATTTACAAAATAGACTCTAAGCTTTAGCTATGTGTGTTGTTTTTTTTTTTTTTTTGACTCAAGACCCAAATCAGTCACGGCATATTTTGGACTAAAGGTTTCATTCTTAGTTGGTGTGCTTCATCTTCATCTAATCTGCAGCATTTTGCTTGATATGCAGTGAGGGTTTTATACTTTGTAGTCTTATAACTCCATTTGCTCTATTTTGCGATAAATTCCTTTTATTCCATATTTCCTTGAGGAACCACCCACACTCTAATAACCGGCTTCCCTCAAATACGAGTCTGCCCTCTAGGCCTTAACGTCATCCTTCTTGAAAAAGTGCCCCTTCCTCCACCCTTACTTTCTTAAATAGAAGGGATACAAAGCAAACCTTCCTCTACTGCAACTTCAAATTGGTAACTTGTTAAGTTTCAACTACAGCCAAATTAGTGCAGGAGAATAGTGTCTGTTCTTATACATGTAGCTCTCTTTCAGTTGTTCACATCTCCATGTGCTTGCAGAGTTCTTTAGTGTGCATTATCTGTTCTTTTAATTTTTGGCTGATTGCCATGCTAATGTAATAAGCATTATCAATGAAGTTCCCTCCATCCATTATGTGTCCCTCCTTTCAGTCAATTTTCTGGGCTATTATTCAAGGAAATACAATATATGAATTTGTTAATATCACTCGTCAAGTATAGTTATTATAAAGTGTTCATTGAGTTCTTTGTGTAATCCTTTATTGGGCTGACCAAAACTGGTGTTAATACTAAATTTATTTCCAGATACTTAGTCCTTCTCCTTCATTTTTTAAATTTTTAAAAAAATTTTCATTAAAGTAATCCACTTGTGTCTTGTATTTGTGTAGTTTGTGTTGGCCAGAATATCTTGCTAGTCTTTGTGCCTTTTAAACCTTCTTGCCTGAATACAACTAACTGTTCTTTACCATTGTGCTTCTTTCTCTTTTTAGTGATTTATAACTATGTTCAGCGACCATTTGTGCGTATGTCATGGGAGAAGGAAGAAAGCAAGAGTCGTCATGTTGACTTCCAGTGTGTTAAAACTAAGACTGGAACCCCAGGGCTGGTGGAGGCTGTAGATGAGCCTGCCGCCTTAGCAGCAGCTGGTGCCGGACCTCACCCCCCAGCTGCCATACTGGGTGCAGATCCTGAAGACATTGAGTAATATCCTGAGCATTATGTTATCAGGCATCAAGCATTGCTATACAGTAGCTGTTACACTGTTTATCAACAGCCAGCAGTTGAAATGTTGGCAAGCCAAGTTTTGCCTTGATTACAAAATATTGGCTGTTAACAAAGAATGGAAGGGTGACATGTAATGCTGCAAATTTTCAACGTATAGAAGTTGTGTATAACCATGATATCAGTGTTCTCCAGAGATTTCTTAGTAAACAGACCTTATGGAAAAAAAAAAAACACTAGGCACAAAAAATTAAAATTTGTTTCAGATCAAGATATGTATTTTACTGATTTGTCTAGTTGAAATAGCTGGTGCTTCTGAAACATGCAGTTGGGAAAACACTAGTGAGCCACTTTTCTTTTGGAGAACACTTTGATATTGGTTAATTATTTGCAGGAAAATTCCATCATTGCTCTAAATGAATAGAGGCATCAAAAATTTAAGTCTGTTGTGCAAATGGCCTTTATGCTACAATTTTTGCTCTAATTGTGGTGTGAGAGGCAAATAAAAGACTTCATTTTTATAAAGCGAAACTACAAGATATCATAGTTATCCTGATAAATATTTGGAAATACGGACAACTGAAGGAATTCCTTTCAATTAAAAAAAATTCTTTATGAGAATTTTTATAATTGGTGATGTTGTAATTGTGGGACATTTCGAAATAGATGTGTTGTTGTAGTAATTCTTTTGACTGTGGGATTTTATTTTAAGTGCTGCAGTCAATTTTCAGAAAAAATAAAAATCACACGTAGAACACATGATTATTTCCCAGAAGTTAATATATTGAATTTATTGTCTTTACCCAAAGTACATCTGCAGTGTCCTGTCGGTAAGCCGAGAGTATGTTACCAAGTTTCAATTCAGTTTGAGTTATTTTAAGCAAAACAAATCATCAACAAAAGTATTGAGCTGATATGAAAATTGTCTGTCTTAAAATGTTTAGTACAAGTAAAAGCTACATTTAAACGGGAGGGATTGCAGTCATTGTAAGAATCCAAGTGGTGAAGAATGAAATATTCATATGGAAAACTCCTGTTAACCCTACTGTATGTTTATTTGTTAGATTATAACGCTTATTTTAGGACATTTTTTTTGTTAGAATTTGATACTGGACGATAAGATGATACTGTAAAAAGTGAAGTTTCGTTAATTTTTAAAGAAAGACCTTTGTTTTGCTTGTTAGTTTATAGAAAGCTCAATATTATTATGATAAAAGAAGGAATAACGTTTCAACAAGCCCAAAGGTGCGAGGGAGGATGTAGGAATCGGAGATGAAATGAGAAGAATAGAGGATGAGTGAACCTGCCCCTGAATGACCTGTTTTGGAGAATGTTCTCGGCTGAAATTGTTTCACCACACGCCCCTAATCGAATCAGCTTCAGTCTTCTACTTTGTCGTAGATGTGATCGTCACTCCCTGCACTGTTCAGAGTCTCGTAATCCTCGCTATGGTAAACAGAAATGTTTGCATGCGTGCTAACGGTAGAAGACTGGGTATGGCTTGATGTGATAGGCCTAATTTCTTCATAAATCGGGTCCAAGGATAATAAGTAATTATCCTCATCGAGGCTGTCTACAGCCTCGTCCAATGCCCCATGTGTCTCTGTACTTTCGATTTCTACGTTGTCTTTCTCTTTCTTGGAGCTAATGGCGGGAGGAAATTTCAAAAATTAACGAGAAAGTTCAGGGATGGCCATACTCTAAGATTAAAAAGTAACGCGCTTACTGTGGAGGAAATAAATATTTTTTCTGAGACTCGCCCACGACGGTATAATTCTACGGTGATATGAGTTTAATGAACTCTCGTCTTCTACTAGGCAGCTTTTGTGTGTGAGGTTACCGGCTTCGAGGTCAAAGTTTTTAATTCTACAGATCTTAATTGCTCGGGGTGAAATGAATGCGGAGGGAATAGTTAAACCAAAGTAATACAACTAAACTAGCCCAATTGTGGAGCCGTCATGGTAATTTCAAGCCGGAAAATCCACAAATTTCTCATATAAGGTGGACTTACCTATAAATCGAAATTTAAAACAGTTTTTCGTAAAAAGTAAAACTCCTATAAAAGCACTGAGGCTTGCTTTTAAAATAAAAGGAGACAAACCTTGCAAAGTAGACTAGAATAATGAGCTAAGGACGGATTTCACGATTGCAGTGTATCGTTTTTGTGATTTTCAATGACCTCATGTGCGATACAGCGAAATTATATACATGTGCACTCATGCAGACACAAATTTATTGTTACGATGGTCTTCCTTTCAATAGGATTGCCTTATTCAGAATGAACCACAACGGCCAATGAGAACAAAGACACATTTCACACCGAAGAGAGCCAAGCTCAAAATAAAACAGGCAAACTGTCTAAAGGGATAGAAAATACCATGTGTAAAATGATGACTTATTTCAGATGGAGAAGACGACGTGAGCGAAGTTAAAAAAACTACCGAGCAACCCTGATTGGCCAGTAGGAGAACTTCCGAGTGCTAGTTACCTTATCCCCCCGTAACATCGTCTTTTTCTCTTTTCTTTTTTCCTCTTGTATGTTTGTGTTTGTATCTTTGTGTGTAATCGTTTTGCACCACTTGTTTATTATAACAATCGATAGACCTTAGAGTATTAGAACCGAGTTCTAGCCAGCAGAGCAGGCGTAATTTAGGCTAGCGAATGCTTATTTCATAACGAATATTATGGCCGCCATCTTTGATTTTAATGGCAGCGGAAGACTGGGGAGAAGAAAAATTTATACCAAGGGGGTGGTCGACGGTCAAAAATAAGGAGAGGGGTGGGGGTAGAGGAGTGAAGAGGCGTCTTTTCTCCCCTCCCCCGCCCCCTACCCCCACCGTCTACTCTGACTGCAAATCAAAAATGGCCGGTCGGACAAACGATCGCGAGCTTTTAGCGTTAGCTCGCACTAATAAGACGCCTGCACTGCAGGCTAACCGAGCTCAAGAGGAGCAAATATCTGTAGGCCACTTTAAATCGTTGCAAAATAAACAAAAAGAGTGAAAAAAAGAGCAAAGGAAAAAGGTTTGATTACTTGCTGTTGTATAATGTAAAAGACTTTGTTTCAGGCCTAATGGCACTCAAATATTTTTGCAATTGTGGCATATCTTTTTAATAACGTTTTGCAACAAAACTTAAACAAAAGAGTGCAAAAATTATAGCTTGCTTCTTAAAGTTCCGAGCTAGTCACTGTATTAAACAAGCTTATCCTCACTCTCGTCACTGAACGTTTCTCTTTCTCCTGAAAGCAGCGGTAAGACTCTTGAAACGAGATTTAGAATTTTATGGGTAGGTCGGACAAGTTTATCTTTAGTTATTACAGAGTCTTCGTTCACGGACATGAATTCTTCACCGCCTATGTGCGGGTCGTCCGCGTACTTTGAGTGTGGTTGGTCAACGGCAGAATAGATGACTTTTTTTCGAGAGGTGTAAATGGGTTCGTTCAACACGACATGTTGGAAATTTACGACGGGAGATTCTTCATCATCATGGCTTTCGTCTTTCTTGAAGTGATCATGGATGGATAAAAGAAAGTCGTTTAATTCTTCACCGCCTATGTGCGTGTGGTCGTCCGCGTACTCTGGGTATGGTTGGTCAACGGCAGAATAGATGACTTTTTCTCGTGAGGTGTATATGGGTTCGTTCAACACGACATGTTGGAAACTTACACCGGGAGATTCTTCATCATTATGGCTTTCGTCTTCCTTGAAGCTATTAAGGATGGATTAAAGATAGTCCTTTACCTGACTTGCCCCCAATCTTTCCTATCTCCCAAACTACACTTCCCCGCCGCGCGCGTGATGAAAATGGCTGGGAATGAGCCTAGGTCGACCCTTACCATGTAATTGAAATATAAAAGCCAAAAAGCAAAAAAATATATATATATATGGCCGTCTACAATTCAGATAATATCATAATTAAGAGCAGAATTCTTGTTAACCAAACATTGTTGAAATAATGCATAGAAACCTCATAGGATAAGCGTTTTTAGAAGGGGTCGATAATTCGAGGCCTGGGATCGAGTTTCTCGTTAGCTCCTCATGATGTTTTTCTTAGTTGTGATTGGTCGTTGTGATTACTCTGGCTATGATTTTACAATAGGTGATAGAAAAGGGCTTAGTTGTATAGGAGGAGCATATCTGGTCGCTACATATTGAAAAATGGTGAAAAAAAAAAGGAAAAAAAGAAAATTGGAAAAGGATTTGTTATATCAAAATTAATTTAACTAAAAAACTATTGCAGAACCTAAAAAATCACTAACGAAAGCAATCGATACACGCGAAATGCTGTTTAGTTTGTAATAGCTGACACTTCAGCCTAAATACTTAATTAACCTTTTTTTCCTCCTTGGTCGTCTTCGGAGCCACAATATAATCACAACAACGATAAGAGCCAATCCTCCAAGGACTGCGGGCGCCACGATCCACCGCTCAGTAGTATCGCTGCTAACCTCACTGTCTTCTATTTGATAGAGCAAGACGGATATTCACAACTCTTTCTAATGATCTGTACACTGTTATGGTTAAAAAAAACTATTCAATGTAAAGATTAAAGGAATTGGTATTATAAGTTTGTTCTGTTGTCTCGCGACAAAGTCACTTGATGTAGAACGCAACGTTTCGACTGCTTACTGCAAGTCTGCTTCAGGCGATGGGGTCGACTGGTTGTGGCAATTTTTCTTATGTAAATTGATTCTTTCACTTTCCTTGTGTACCGATGGTTTTCTCGGTCAATAAGCTTTGTTTCGCTCCACAGCGGCTTGTGTTCGGTTCCGTTAGCATGTTCTGAAACCGCGGAATTATGATTGCGTGTCGTGAGACAACAGAACAAACTTATAATATCATCCAACTACCACGATGAACAACAACCTATTTCAAACGTTAAAGGAATTACCAGCAGATCGTGGTGTAAACTATATGAAGTCTAACTGATCATAATTGTGGTATATGTATTTTTTAAAAGGGGTAAGTTTCTAGAAAAGATGTGGTGCTTCGTCCGTGGGGGGTCTTACAAGATACCGTAGTTTTGAATATAGAAGCGTTCCTCGCAGTTATGAACACTACTGAACTAGTAGTGAAAATAAGGCCTGAAAAAGCAGTGCACGTATACGATTTTCATATATTTACAGTCATAATGTAGTTTTATCAACTGAATTGATAATGTGATTTGACCACCGTAAAGAGTTTCTATAGCTGACGTTTCAAGGGTTGGCCCTTCGTCACAACGAATACTGTTGATTTGTTTGCTTTTGGGACGGTATGAGTTTTCTATATTTTCTTCATCATCATAATTGTCTTTCTCAACTTCATCATCATTAGTTCTGATTTATTTCATACCACCCCCTCCTCCTCCCCCCGTATTCATCTGTCAATGCTCTGCCTCTTGATGAGCTTCCACTCAAGAACTGCTGTTTCACTATATAACAGTTCAGAGTTCACAAATTGTCACTCATCCGAAGAAAATACCTATGTGCAGCTATATGGTGTTGTCAGATCGTTCAAATTAGTGATTGGAGAAATTCCAGTTTTACTACCCGAGCTTAGGGATTCACAACTACACCACTAGGTTCGCGAATTAGATTTTTACCGCACATTATTTCGCGGAAGCTCTAGATTACTATCCTGTTTGCATAATTCCGCGAAACTATGTGTGTTTTTGACAGTGGCCTCTTTGACATGTATTTGAGGAAAATACTAACAAATGTAATTACGTTTTGTCTTGAAATAACACGATGTTTTGCTCCTCAAAGGGCGGCTCTGCAAAAATAGTGTTCAAATTATACTTGATTAAACAATCAAAAACCGAAGAAAAACTACAAACCTTTTATCTGTACTTCAATTGCTTTACGTATCTCGCAATTGCCCTGTTTCAGTAACACCTCATAAATTCCCGCCATCTCTGGGCTTGCTGCAACAATTTCCAACTCGGTTTTATCAGAATTTAAATAGATGTGGTGAGTATCCTCTTCACCTCGAACAAAATATCCTTGATGAGTCCAAGTCAAAGAGCCTGAAGTTGACTTCTCAACGTTTAACAGGGCGTTATCACCTTGCTTTATTTCAACGGGACTTTTGACCAGAGTGTTTAAAAAGAGATCTGCAAAATTGATTTGTAACGATGTTATTAAATTATTTCCAAAATGTCTGCCCCTTTCAGTTTAGACAATAAAAAACACATCCTCAGTGATAGTCTCTTTTGGAAAAAATGCAAATGTTTGAATTATTTGCAAATGTAATGTCAAGCAGTGGTGGATTTACTTCGTGGTAAAGAGCACAGAACATTTCTTATGAAATGAAAACA